TAGAGTCTGGACAAGACAATCGAGTGATTGACATAATCAAGCAAGTTAGCGAGCCTGACCCTGGCGGTCCCGTTAGTCGCCTCTTACGACAAGCCTAGTCGCCTCTCATTACAAGCCTAGTCGCCTCTCATTACAAGCCAAGTCGCCTCTCATTACAAGCCTAGTCGCCTCTCATTACAAGCCTAGTCGCCTCTCATTACAAGCCTAGTCGCCTCTCATTACAAGCCTAGTCGCCTCTCGTTACAAGCCTAGTCGCCTCTCGTTACACGCCTAGTCGCTTCTCGTTACAAGCCTAGTCGCCTCTCGTTACAAGCCTAGTCGCCTCTCATTACAAGCCTAGTCGCCTCTCATTACAAGCCTAGTCGCCTCTCATTACAAGCCTAGTCGCCTCTCATTACAAGCCTAGTCGCCTCTCATTACAAACCTAGTCGCCTCTCATTACAAGCCTAGTCGCCTCTCATTACAAGCCTAGTCGCCTCTCGTTACAAGCCTAGTCGCCTCTCATTACAAGCCTAGTCGCCTCTCATTACAAGCCTAGTCGCCTCTCATTACAAGCCTAGTCGCCTCTCATTACAAGCCTAGTCGCCTCTCATTACAAGCATAATCTATCTAAAAATGCCCTTATAGTATACATTCTTGTCATCACCTGAAATAAAATAAAAATATGGAATCTATTTTGTCGTTATAATTATCATCTCATGACATAATCACACTTTCATTATGTTACTAAGATAGATTTGCTCTTAACATGAAGACATTGATGTTGGAAGAACACACGTGCTAGTTTTGAGAGTTTGAAAGCTAGCTAGGTTCATTCTCTGTCGATATTAGAGGCCAACTGACCACAGTGTAAGGTACATAATTTGACAAATCGTATTATTTTTGCACCTACACAGAGACAATGTAGTTGTATGCAAGGTACATAAGTGTAATATAGATATGTCCAAGCTTAATTCATTCTTTGCGGGTAATATACATTTTGTATCTGAATGAACTGATCTGATACAATTGATACGATATGTTTCAAGGTCTTCATTGTTTATTTATTTGTTTGTTGTTTAAGGACGCACTCATCAATATTCCAGCTATATGACACGTCGAGGCGATCTGTCCATAATCGAGTCTAGATCGTACATTCCAGTGATTGACATCGTGAGCAAAATGCTAAATCAATAAGAAACATGGTGAGACTGATGATTCTAGCGCCGATCCTCTGTGAGCACATTCCTACAGTAAATCTACCGTACGATGATTCTAAGGTTCTACGGTTTATTACTTTGATGGAATGACTGTCACGTACGGGACAGAACGACACGGCAGACCTTCGCGCGAGTCACTTGCACCTGCTCACTGCATAGCTGATAGCGACATGCTAAATGGCTGACAATGTGTTACATTATGATGACAGACTTTATTTTGTTATACAAGGAAGATCTATTGTCGTGGACAGGTTAAATAGATAGATAATGGGAGTGACTTTAGGCCAATTGCAAAACTCATATCCAAGCAGCGAAAGCTCTACGTCTGATGCCATGTAACATCCCTGTTGAAAAGGGTAACGATCCTCCACGATTTGATGTCAGCATATATGTCGCGAGGCTGTTATTAGTCAATTGTTGCAAACAAGGCATCTTCTGTTATTTTTTAACCGTTAGTTGATGTACATAATAGAATGTGACTTTGCAGATACACAAATTGGTGTCTGTATGACTTGCCGAGACTGCCAATTTCCCGAGCCTGTTCACCTTTCACAGAAATGTCACCTGCAGCTGGAGTTTACTACTGAGCTGGTGTAGTCGCCTATCAGGATATAGATTATCACACCATATGATAATACTGTGGTCGAGGTTTCCTCCAAAACTAGGTTCCGAATCATCACCATGCATATTTGGCAAATAAGGTATGTACGTACATAGTTTAACTTACGTCTTCATGAGAAGTAAGCAAGACCTCTACTCGGTAAAGGGGCACACTCACTGTAATAACAGAACTCATTGTCAGAACAGAAATATGTAATTTAATCCCAGATAGCAAATATCGGTCGGGCCAACTGTTCTCATCGGCGCAACCTTTGGCCGAGGTTGGCAATATATTATCGACATATAGCCAAAGCACACCACTACAGTTGTATTGCCTCTACTAGCTGATGTAAAGGTACTACATCAGTATAGTTACTACAGGAACACATTCGTACATTGTACTGTTTAAAATTAACATGACATTGAGTTAGATGAATTCCGCACAAACGTACGAGGGGCGTTCAATACGTTTGGCAACTTCAATAAAAGACAGAGGCGCAGAATATCTTTTGCACTTTTATTTTTCAATATAATCTCCATTCACCTCAATACACTTATTCCATTTGCCCTTCAAGCTTTTGATACCACTTTTATAGAAATCCGCAGATTGGCCCTCTAACCACGCCTCAGTGGCAGCCTTTATGTCCTCGTCATCCTGGAAGCGTCTTCCACGTAAGGCAGATTTCATTTGCCGGAACTGGAAATAGTCACTGGGGGCTAGGTCTGGGTTCGAACAGTTAAATCACCCGACCTACAGCCAAGACTTAGCCCCCAGTGACTATTTCCTGTTCCGGCACAGATTGGCCTTTGTTCAGCGGATGACACATGTTCTGTGGGAACGGCGGTATGGCGGTATGTCTAACTCTACAGATAATGTACTGAATGTCTTCTAGTATTGTGATATACAGTGGCTCAGAGCGAACATGCGCTGGACCTAATCTAGACGTATGCTTATCTCGTGCTCAGACAACCTTGGAACGGTGTCTGCACAGGAAGTCGACCTTTCCATGTGACACTATTTCCAGGAAATCGAACAGCGGATTTCTTTGATGCTCGTTGTTGTTACAAAGTGCTGGAAACATAGACATTGCATTTTTCGCAAGATCAGCGTCACATGTCATACGTCTAGATTTAGAAAATTAAGCGTGGTGTATTTAATGTTTGGATATATGTATCTCATATATGTATTTGTGTGCATGACTGTGATATGCTAATGATATATAAAATGGTAAATAAAAATCAGAAATGACACAGTTTTGTGTTTAGTGATGTATGTTATCCGGACTAACGGCTTACAAGAACATGCAACATGGTCTATTGCACCACTAAGCCTTTATTGGAGAAAACCTCACGAGGGGGACTAACTTACCCGTGCCCAGTCATTGGAAACTCGACTATTCCACGCGAATATCGCACATGTAAGCTTTGTACCTCCCCAGCCATAGCCTACGAGTTCCATTACCTCTTTAGATGTGAATATTTTGACCAGCAAAGAAAATACATTAACGGATAATAGATATCTAAACTGGTCGAACATTATTTCCTTTAACCATTTGATGTCAAATATGAGAACTTACATTCTAAAAAAACTATCTAAATTTGTAAAAATAATACTCTCTGTGCTAAAGTTAACAACTGTTGCCATTTGATCACATTGTATTTTTGTATATATGTATGTTATTATGTTGCTTTGGGGCGGTCGGGTAGCCTTGTGGTTAAAGCGTTCGCTCGTCACACCGAAGACCCGGGTTCGATTCCTGACATGGGTACAATGTGTGAAGCCCAATTCTCGTGTCCCGCGCCGTGATATTCCTGGAATATTGCTAAAAGCGGCATAAAACCACACTCACTCACTCACTCACTATTATGTTGCTCATATACCACCGGCTTGTGGTTTGAGCTAATAAAGAAATTGAATTGACTTGAATTGACTTCGTGTCAACCCTTTGGCATACCTCGTTACAAAAGAAAAATAATTAATTAATGAGGAAATTAGTTTCCATCACTAATGATTCACACTGCACTATGATCGAAATGAATACAACACGACAAATTGAATGTGTACAGTTTGAAAATTATCATACAGGATATAATGTGGATACAGTTGTTTATTCCAACTTCTTTGTGAAAAGGTTTTGTGCCACTTAAATGACAAACCTGTTTGGCGTCGCTTGTTGAAACTGTCAGGTGTTAAATTGTCACCAGTGTGGACATATTTTATCTTACTAATTAATGTGAATATACAAATCCGTTGTTGTTAAGATTGTGTACTCCAACTCCTTCAAATCTGAACGGCAAACATCTTCATGTCTGTGCTGCCAATGTAACACATGATTTACGAAACCACAAATATGTTAGTTAACTACAATCAAATACTTCACAACGCAATATGAGTACACATTCTACAAATATATCCTAGAAGTTTTACCACAGTAAAAACTTACAACAGTAATGCTACATCCACACAGCTTTAAAATTGGTTTGCATGGATTTTGAAGAAGGGCTTTCTGACGCTATTATTTCAATGTTTTGCAACTGAATTTAATTCTTCCTTAATACAAAGCAAATTCTCACCATCGTGCTGTGTCACCTTATATAACACTATTTTAGCAATGTTAAGACGAAACTTGTATGTTTATTCAAATAAAATGTCATTATATAATCAAAATTATTCAATTATTTGTCAGTGAACATCGTTCCTTTACATGAGACCACGATTACGGAGCACTAAATGACAAAAAAGTGGTTTCAAATCAAGAATACACATGGTCACCTTTTATTATTATGTACAGATAAAAAATAAAAAATGCAGCAAATTAGATCCTGGCACAGGCAGGCTGGTTAGGCTCATCATCAGCTCAGGGCCCTTGCCCCCTCTACACGCAGCCCAGACAGCGAATGGGACTTCTCCCAGGAAGCGTTGCCTAGTCAAACCCACCCAGAACTATTCGGAGAAAGTGAAGAGTCATTAACACTGCAGCCTTCTTCATTACGCAGATTGTCAGAAGAGCTGTATTCCTGGTAGCAAGCCCGGGTACTCTCCTAATGTCAGTCAACAGATTTGGGAGATACCAAACCTAAGGCACCGAGAACAATGGGGAGTCGGACAACTTGGTACTTGGGATGCAAGGGTGACATTTCGAAAGCGAAAGCATATTTGTCATGTTTTTCCTGAATCTTGTCAATCACATTAATGTCAAAAGGGACAGTCAATTCAGTGACAAAAATGATTTCATTGGATTTATCAAAAAGGACAAGATAAGGTTTGTTGGCCTGGATACGTCTGAAGCTGTAAACGGGCCTATTCCAAAGAATTTTGTATTTAACATTTTCCACGACGCCCTCTAGATATTCCGGGTCGTACCATGGATGGACCTCTGTGTCAAAATCAAGCGAAGACGGCGTATAAAATGATCGAGCTACATCACCATGTTGCTTTGGATACTGTGCCAAAGCTGGGCATGTCATTAAATTCATTACATAATCTACTTTTCATATTTACATTTTGCTGCAAAATCACACATTGTCGGTTTCGGGTCGGAAGTGACTGGTCCTGAGCAGCAAACAGAACACCTTCTTTCACTTTTCAGGCCAGTCGACTTCATCCAAGCGAAGGACCCTGCAGGGTTGCTGACCTTCTAAACACAATGCACATAAACTCGATGCAGTGGTCGTTCAGAAAGCCTCTCCTTGCAAAACTGAGTCTAGGCGGACTTGATATGGCACTTCGGGGGTAGTATGGTGCTGATACACCTAGAAACCTCACTTAAGGTCAAGATTTCTGTCGCCCCTGTGCGCACTGCCTTAGACGACACAGCAAGCCGCGCCCCCACATCGGAATAGCAGTCAGTCCTGTGGATGTGCCCTGGCACTTATGGAATGTGGGAATGATGTTGTATCGACATTTCATATTCTATATAATACTTAATAATATTCTTTGACAACACAACAATATAATGATGGGTAGTTTTACAACAAGAAAACAATATTCCAAAAACACACATGACAATGAAGTCGACCACCCGCCTCCACAATTTGTAGCTACATGTATTAAGAAATTTGAAACCGTATCTTCGGTGTGGTTTGTATGTAACCTTTGTATGTAATGTTACTTTGTCGGTATCCGCGTTCCACCGAACGTGATACACTCGTCCCAGTCTGGCCAGTAGGTCTCCTTCATCCGGTCACAGAAGGCACAGATGCGAGGGTAGCGTTCTGAAAAGTCAAACGATTTCAAAAGCAGTGGTATTGGATGGTGAATATAAACTGAGGTCGCCTTAGTCTGTTTGTTTCTGTACCTTCATTCCGCTTTATTAACTATGTAATGAACAAAGAAATGTTGGCTATTACGTCCGAGTTACTACTATATATTTCATAAACACGGTATGAACACATTGATTTACCTTCAATAAGGCGGACTCCTTCCTCTCCCAAACCAGGCATATTCCATCGCACCTGTGACAGCATTCCGAACATTGCGCAATCCACTTCAGTCGCTTTCTTGCCCATAAAGAACGGCTTTTCGCCTGGTAAGAGATAGCACAAAACATCGGACAACTAGATTTGCAGTATTGTACAAACTATCCTACACTCAACACACATGTATTTAATCATTGACTGTTTTAAAAAAATCCTTGAGTTACAGAAAGAAAGAAGAAGGCGGTGCAAAGAGTCCGCAACTTGCTTTTTCGAATCATGAGCCAACGCCCTCCGTGATCAACTGGATAGAGTCAGGAAAGCGGAAGGTCGGTGATTCGCCCCCCTGGCTGAGATATACCACAACACGTTAAGATATGGTAGTGACTGTGAGTAAAACTATTCATGTTAAACTGCGGTATGGTATGTCAATGGGCGAGCACTATAAACCGGACCAGTACGAGAGCGCGCCCGCACGGCCCGCATCAGTGTTTATTAATTAAAAGCTTAGATGATATGGGTGAGCACATTTGGACTCGAAATGTGATAGTAGGGTTATCGAAGATGAGTATCATGTACTCTTTGTAAAAAATATTCATCAATTCGTAGTAAATATCTATCAAATATACATTTACAGCATAAAAGTAAACGAACCGTAATACTACTTTTCAGTAATTATCTTTGTTTGAAACATGCTGCACTTTTCTTAATATATATGTTAAAAGAGTAACATGTCACTTTCTAACACTATTTATATTTCTACGTAAACATTTCCTTGTTTTACTTTGCCAGCACATCAATACTTTCCCAGATTTGTATTCGCCCGGAAATCTTAACCACGCCCATGAAAGGCATTTTATGTAGGCTTCAATGTAATTTACACTTTCTCAACACTTGGAGCTTGTGTCATGTTGTCAACTGATCGTAGTGTTCGCCATGTGGCTTTCTACTGAATACTCGCGTCTGAGTTACAAGCAGAGTACGTTATTATCTATGCACTACCATATCCTGGAATACTGGCAATGCACTATCATATCCTGGCATAGTACTGACACTGCACTATCATATCCAGGCATACTGACACTGCACTATCATATCCTGGCATACTGGCAATGCACTATCATATCCTGGCATACTGACACTGCACTATCATATCCTGGCATACTGACACTACACTATCATATCCAGGCATACTGGCAATGCACTATCATATCCTGGCATACTGACAATGCACTATCATATCCTGGCATACTGACAATGCACTATCATATCCTGGCATACTGACACTGCACTATCATATCCTGGCAAACTGGCAATGCACTATCATATCCTGGCATACTGGCAATGCACTATCATATCCTGGCATACTGACACTGCACTATCATATCCTGGCATACTGGCAATGCACTATCATATCCTGGCATACTGACAATGCACTATCATATCCTGGCATACTGGCAATGCACTATCATATCCTGGCATACTGACAATGCACTATCATATCCTGGCATACTGGCAATGCACTATCATATCCTGGCATACTGGCAATGCACTATCATATCCTGGCATACTGGCAATGCACTATCATATCCTGGCATACTGACACTGCACTATCATATCCAGGCATACTGACACTGCACTATCATATCCTGGCATACAGGCAATGCACTGTCATATCCTGGCATACTGGCAATGCACAGTCAAGCCCGCTCAGCTGATTATATCAAGCGTCCTGCCAAGCACTATGCCCTTCACCTGGTCATACATAAACGACGCGCTCATTTCAGAAGCTCCTGAATTGTTGTCATGTTGACCAACGCTGTAAAACTTGTGAGACATGCAATACGAGTGATCATTCCTCTAAGCTGTCATCTCAATGTGTTTCCAAACAGTTCCGATCAGACGTAACCGTGCACGTTACTTTTGTAACTGATAGTTGTTTACCTATTTATCTGTGATGTGTGGTGGGGAGGATGCAGGAGATTGCTAAAGGACACTCATCGAGTGATGACTTCAAAGATCTTTCCTTTTCAGACAATCAACTTGAACTATGAACATATCATCTATTTACCCATGCATAGTTATGCACATGTTAACTGTATCTACGGACGAAATGACCTGCAGATAGAATGCTTCACCTATAAAATCCGAAATGGCTTGAAGATCATCGTTCAATATGCCCTCAATCTCCTCCAATGAGTGTCTCCCCATGCCTTGAGCCCAGGCATTAGTCGTCATCCTTCTGCTGACCCACCACGTGATTAGCCTGTAGGGCATTCCCATCGCCTGGGTCATCAAAGAAAGGTCGAAATAGTGATTCCATCGCAGACACACCCCTGCCCTGAAACAAAGCACAAGTCCTATACGATTCAATGACATTGCTTACAAAAAGTGTTCGAAAAATAAATGTATATACAATGTATAATATTTAACAAAATTTCAGCAATTGTGTTATTATTTAGGAATTTAAGAATGGTAGGTTAGTTAAAAAAACACTTGATACCATGTTTAAATGAAATTATGACGTAGATCGAGTAGCTTTGCTTCAGAAACGAATTCTAAGAAAGATCAAGCTGACCTGGGTTTTTTAGACAGAGAGCAAAGGCAGTGGTATGTTTTTATTACATCGGGGCTTAATTTTCCACAGAGGCGTGATTTTTATTATTTCACATCTGAATGAAAATTCATGGCGGCGGGAGAAGGGAAAAATACGGACAGCTTTTTAGTCAATATGTGATGTAAAGGACATCTGCATACCAATACAAATGTTCCTCTACCATCTTCTGCATAGCTCTCGCAGTCGCCCTTTGTTCCGGAGTTAGATCCTTGTTGAGGTCAATGTCCAACTTCTTGTTGAAGTATTGTATTATCATGGAGGAATCTCCCAGCACGGTGCCGTTATACTCGATCCATGGGAACTTCCTGGTACCGGGGCAAGTCTTCAGTCCATAGTCCCCCTAGAAGTGAGAGAATCAGTCAGCAGTTGCCTCTACATTAAGTAGGTTGTCAAGGTTTGGACCAGACCAACCAGTGGCAGAAAGCAAGAGCAATAATCAACACCGACGAAGCACAGTGATACACATTTTAACTACCCTGTCCACATCTAAGTCTGTTCTCGCAAAAAGAACGGATAAGTTAACCTGGTCTCCAAAGTAAGGCATCAATGAAAGTGTTTCCTTAATTTTATGTGTACTGTGAAGTGAGTGAGTGAGTTGGGTTTAACGTCGATTTTAACAGTATTCCAGTTATATAATGCACCGTATAATGTACAGCGAGTGTGTGTATAATGTACAGCTAGTGTGTGTATAATGTACAGCGAGTGTGTGTATTATGTACAGCGAGTGTGTGTATTATGTACAGCGAGTGTGTGTATTATGTACAGCGAGTGTGTGTATAATGTACAGCGGGTGTGTGTATTATGTACAACGAGAGTGTGTATTATGTACAGCGAGTGTGTGTATTATGTACAGCGAGTGTGTGTATAATGTACAGCGAGTGTGTGTATTATGTACAACGAGAGTGTGTATTATGTACAGCGACTGTGTGTATTTTGTACAGCGAGTGTGTGTATTATGTACAGCGAGTGTGTGTATTATGTACAGCGAGTGTGCGTATTATGTACAGCGAGTGTGTGTATTATGTACAGCGAGTGTGTGTATTATGTACAGCGAGTGTGTGTATAATGTACAGCGGGTGTGTGTATTATGTACAACGAGAGTGTGTATTATGTACAGCGAGTGTGTGTATTATGTACAGCGAGTGTGTGTATAATGTACAGCGAGTGTGTGTATTATGTACAACGAGAGTGTGTATTATGTACAGCGACTGTGTGTATTTTGTACAGCGAGTGTGTGTATTATGTACAGCGAGTGTGTGTATTATGTACAGCGAGTGTGCGTATTATGTACAGCGAGTGTGTGTATTATGTACAGCGAGTGTGTGTATTATGTAACTGTAACACAACTGAACATGACTTTCACTTTGTTTTCATGTGCAATGTTAATATTGACATCAGATTCAAACGTGTTTGTCAAAGATTTTATGTCTACCTATCTCGTTGTAAATTAAATAAGCTGATATCTTACTCTGATCCATCACTAAAACGTAAAAGTTTGTTATCGAGTTCTGCAGTAAAATTGCCAATAATTCGCGGATCAGTTGCAAATAATTCCCGAATAATTTACAAATAATTCGTGAATAATCTGCGGACATCTGCGAAAACATTTTAATTGCTTTATGGCACTAATCTGGAGTTTTATGGGACCAACACGCCGTCAACGCGTGGCTGGCCATGGCAATAGTCTCCTTACCTACAATGTATACTGTGATGCTACACTGTGAATGGATTGCAGGTACATGTAATATATTCCTGCTATAATAATGCTGTCATTAGATATTCTTACTTACATGAATAGTCAATCCATGGTCAACTAGCATATGCGTTCCTTGTCTTGTACAAATATTCATGTATACAATGAAATATTATATACTAGCATATACTCATGTAGCGGTTTGATGAATACCACTTTGACACTGGTTACATCATAGTTGATGTATGTACCTCAATTCCCGTGTTATTTGAATAAAAAACAGCTATAAAATATAGATCTTTCTGTGCGTGATATGTGCTCAGTGTCATTGTGATATAACAGTAAAACACGTATTCAAACACGTTTGACGCGTACTGTACAGGGAATTACAATCAGACGACGGTCAGTGAGAAGGCTAATTATCTTGTACGACCCGTTTATAGATCTCACCCCACGAGGCCCTCCCCCCAGCAGGAGATCATACGCGAGTGCCGTCGGTCGGTCAGACAACAGACAACCCAACAAGATGGCCAGGACTGAGGACACGGGAGAAAACAGGCCGCGGTAGGAGAATAACGGAGGTCAGCAAACCCGTGAGTCGCCTAACAGTGAAAACGTAACTTCCCACGAGAAACTTAAGATACTGTCTCTTAATGTGTGTGGGATTAGGACAAAGCTGTTGAACCCCGATTTTGTGAACGATGTGTCCAGATACGATATACTGTGTCTGACTGAAACTAAAACGTGTGATTTAGATGCTGTGAAAATCCCAGGATTCTCAGTTCATATGAATAACAGAACTAACGCACTGAACACACGTGTATCTGGCGGGATCATTGTAGCCATCAAAGAGACACTATTTGACAAGGTCAGCGTCATCGAAAAGATGCATGATATTGTTTTATGGTGTAAGATACCAAGTGATTTCCTGCATGTTAACGATGACCTTATCCTAGGAACTGTGTATATACCACCAGAGCAAAGTAGATTTCATTCACCGGAAATATTTACAACACTAGAAAATGATATCATTCGTATGTCAAACTGCTCACAGTACATGTGTATTGTTGGTGATATGAATTGTCGTACTAAAAATCTTCCGGATTTTATCATTTTGGACGAATATTTATGTGACAATGATATTATTGACGAGGAATTATTGTTTTCAAATGTACAACTTCTAGTTGACACCGGTGTAAAGTTAGATAGAATATCAATGGATACTGAAACAAACTGTAACGGGTATAAACTCCTGGATTTATGTAAAAATAACGGGCTGTATATTGTGAATGGAAGATTAGGCAAAGACAAGGGTATTGGTAAACTGACATGCAGAAATGCCAGTGTTGTCGATTATTGTATTGCATCAGCAGAAACATTCCCATTATTAATAGATTTTGAGGTACAGCACAACAACTATCTCCAGTTATAGATGATGACAAGGATGTACATGTACATAAAGTTGGGTTCCTGATAAAAGTGAAACATTTTTATGTAATATCGATAGGGTTGCCATTACCCATCAGTGTACAGAATTAGATGCATGTAAAGACCAAATAGAGCGAAATGACATTAACTAAATTGTAAATAAACTCTCTCAGACGCTGGTTACTGCGGCTGAAACTACTCTAGGTACTGTAAGAAATTCTAGACATTCTGTACATAAGCACAAGCATAAACCCTGGTTTGATGAAAAATGTAAATCATCACGTAGATTTTACCACAAGCGTAAACGTATATATGGAAGGACTAAAGACAGAAATAGCAAAGCTATGTACATTTCAGCTAGTAGAGCTTATAGTAAAACCCTAAAGAAGGCATTTAAGACATATCAAAACAAATGTGTCCAACAACTGAGGGAATGTAATAGTAACCCTAAGAATTTTTTGGAAATTTTAAAATCATTTGAACCAAAGAAAACAGCAGAAAAAATCAGTATTGACAATTTTTTTCAATTTTTTAAAGATCTTAATCAAAGTTCTGATGATAATGACGATGTTTTTGCCAATAACACAAATTACGATAATCATGATGATATCTTAGATTGTAGGATTACAGAAGAAGAAATTATGACAGCTGTCCGTGCATTGAAGAACAATAAGGCTTGTGGGTTGGATGGTATTTACAATGAGTACATTAAAAGCTCTATTCATGTTATGATGCCGGTTTACGTAAGGCTTTTTAACCTCGTTTTTGACACTGGAGCTTTACCTGAAGCTTGGCTTGTTGGCCAAATAAAACCAATCTACAAAAACAAAGGAAACCAAGCTGACCCAGACAATTTCAGAGGTATTTCTATCCTAAGCTGTTTAGGTAAATTGTTCACTACACTATTGAATAATCGTTTACAAGCTTACTCAGTTCTTCAGACTAATCTGATAAGCGAAGCGCAAGGAGGATTTAGAAAAAAATACTCAACAATTGACAATATGTTTATTCTTAAAGCTCTCATTGATATCTATAGAAACCTTAATAAGAAGTTGTATTGTGTTTTCGTCGATTTTAGCAAAGCTTTCGATACAGTATGGATGTGTGGTCTGTGGACAAAAATGATAAAGTCTAATATCAAAGGAAAATGTTTTAATGTCATATAAAATATGTATCAAAATATCAAATCTTGTGTTACACATAATAACAAGGTGTCAGGTTTCTTCCCATGTCAAATTGGTGTAAGACAAGGTGAAAATTTGTCACCTTTCCTGTTTGCTTGGTACCTTAATGACCTTGAACAATTTTTATCTGAAAATGACTTTGAAGGACTGCATAATGTAAATAACCTTTTAATAGATTCACTTGAACTGTACATAAAACTTTTTCTCATTTTGTATGCCGACGATACTGTTTTAATGGCCGAAAGCCCAGAAGATTTAAGAAAGTGTCTCACTATATTTGAAGAATATTGTACTATCTGGAAACTTAAAGTCAATGTTGACAAAACGAAAGTTGTTATTTTTGCCAAGCGCTCCACAAATAGAGTCTTCAAGTTTATCTTAAATGGCTCGTTTCTTCATGTTGTTAAAGAATATGTTTACCTTGGTATTTTATTTACAAACACTGGTAGATTCTGTAAGGCACTAAAGAGACTGACAGATCAGGCATCTAGAGCAATGTACGCTGTATTTCGTAAAATTAGAATATTAGAAATTCCTATTGACTGTCAACTGAAATTATTTGATCAACTTGTTCAGCCAGTATTGTTATATGGATCTGAGGTGTGGGGTTTTGAAAATGCTGTTGTCATTGAACGTGTACATCTTAAATTTTGTAAATATATTCTCAAGTTAAAACAGTCAACACCCGATTACATGGTATATGGTGAACTAGGGAGGTATCCTCTCAGCATTTTCATTAAGATGAGAATGATTTCATATTGGTGCAAGCTAACATCATCACAAACTAGCCTTTCTAGTATAGTATATAAACTTATGTTTCAAATGTCCATTGCAAATCCAGATTACCATTTCCCACTATTAAAAGAAGTAAAATGCATTCTTCAAAATATAGGCTTTAATTACATTTGGCTGTCTCAAACCTTTATTAGTGCCTCATGGTTGAAACAAAATGTGAAACATGTTCTCATTGATAATTTTCTGCAAAGATGGCGAGAATCAAAGGAAAATTCATCTAAAGGTTACTATTATAACATGTTTAAAGAGTTACCATCTCTAGAACCTTATTTACTAGAACTACCAATCACCTTACGCATCTCTCTTGCTCGTTTTAGAACAGCAAATCATAGATTACCCATTGAAACAGGAAGATGGTATAATATTGTGAGAGAGGAAAGAAAATGTACATTGTGTAAAAATTTTATATGTGATGAAATGCACTTTTTATTAGAATGTCCAAAACTCTCAGAAATTAGAAACAAGTTTTTGCCTCAATACTACTGTATGTATCCTTCTGCCGTAAAATTCTCCTATTTGATGTCCATTACTTATAAGCCAACTCTATTAAAACTGGCAAGTTATATGAGATCATGTATGGAAATGTTCCACTGACATGTTTTCTTCATTGTATCTTATTCCTGTGTCCAATTACATCTCTGTATCACTGCCGTGATTTACGAGAATAAACATCATTCATTCATTCATTCATTCATTGTATTAGTTTGTAATTAATGTATTATGTACATCAATTGTCATCAGTGCTTCTAAATCAGTTCAATTTTTCGTTTTTCTCCAGATATTAAAGAGCGCTTTTAAGTAATGCTTTCGTGAATGTGTCGGGTGGTAGTCGAAGCATTATTTTGTCACGCAAAAATTCGGATTGATGTCCCATATGAGTACGGTACAATGTGAACCTGTAATCTGGTGCACCTACATGTTTGTTTGTACCGCACTCAGAAATATTTCAGCTATATGACGGCCGTCTGTAAATAATCGAGTCTGGACCAGACAGTCAAGTGATTGACATCATGAACATGTATACATATCATGTCGATATATTGCTGGATTATTTAATAACCGGTATTTATCCATATTATGTTCAGAATGATCAGTTCATTGTGGCAGAAGTGGCACTGTAGCAACACAATGTACATGTATAATGTGCACAACTCTCAAGCGAAATAACTGTATTGTGATTAAAGTTAAATGTGTGTGGACACTGGGGTTTGAGTTTTCTAATGTAGAACTTTACATTGAAGATATATACCATGTACACCGGGAATATTAAGGTGCGGGGATGCTCGAAAAATTAGTGATATGATATTCCGCCGATTGACGAAAAATTGAATGAATATTGGGACACAAATTCAACTTTTAAATGCATTGCCACTTTTGATTTGAAGTTGGGAATAATTCAGAAAAAACAACAGCCTTCTTATGCTAATTCCCATATTCTCACTAGTACGTTGTATAACTTTTATACACAATGCCACTCGCCTAAGAGAAAGTTGCATCTAATTACAGAGTCGGTCTCGTTCAATTACAATCTGCCACACCACGCGTGAATCAACAGGTGCGCAGGTTTTGCTGTAGGCAATATAAAAAGCACAGTAAAGTTCTAACTCTCAGGCACAATATAGTAATAATTAAATAAGTGGAGTAAGTGTGTACATTATACACACACTCGCTGTACATCATACACACACTCTTACTCTACTTATTTAATTATTACTATATATATATATATGTATAAACTGTCAAGGACTCCGCATGATATAGGGGTGTGTTATCTTCCACTCAAAACTCAAAGACGTGTTGATATTTGTGAATTTCTTGATTCATTGTTGTTTAACATTTTTGAATTTCAAAAGACCGGTAGTGTCACAATTTGTTGTGATTTTAATTGTAGAATTGGTAATATGCCGGATTATATTGAAGGTATAAATTGTTTAGTTGAGAGAGATGTGGTTGATTTTACTAGAAATAAGTATGGTCATATCTTGTGTGATCGTTTAGTTAAAAGCAATATGTGTGTTTTAAACGGCAGAATTTGTACGCAAAATGATTTTACTTCCATTTCTACACGTGGCTCAGCTGTGGTTGACTATTGCATAATTCCCCTTAAAGATCTGAAGTGTTATGAAACGTTTCACGTAGAGCGTGCAAGTGAGATTGTCAGCAGAGTTTGTGGTAGCTGTGGCGTGGATCCGCGCTTGGTCCCTGATCATTCATGTTGTCATGTCAAAAAGGATTCCGGTAACGTAGAAGTACTATTGATCACATATCAACACTTACTAATATTATGGAGACAAGAAAGAAAACGAAACTCTCTGCATATGCAGCATTTATAGATTTCAAGAAAGCCTACGACTCAATCAACCGATCTAATGCATATACCAAATGTTATGACTCTGTCGTCCTTCCAGTTATTACGTATGGAGCGGCAATATGGGGAACCAAAGACTACAGGGTAGTGACCAAGATGCAGAACTGGGCCTGTAGAGTTTTCCTCGGCGACAAGACTGGAGACTGGGCGTTATGAAAACCTGCCGTTGGAACAGCGAATATGTCCTCTGTGTTGTAATGATGGTGAACATGAAATATATGTGATTTGGAAATGCCCTGTCTATGATGATCTCCGCAATTCTATCGAAGATATTGTTCCAGATGTTAAAGAAGATTTTGATTATCTGAATGATGTAGATAAATTATGCTTTTTATTCTCCGCCGTTGATATACGTTAACATGTCACCAGAACCGCTTATTATATACTTACACGTCGTCGAAACCTTGTGTATTAATCTTACGTATTACACTTTATATTAAAGTGTTTTAGTCTATCATAATGCCATAAGGAATGTACCTTGATGGGGGCACGGGTGGCCAAGTCGTCTAAGGCGCCGCGATTCGCTGTGCTGAGTTGCGTCCCTTGGTCACACCAGAAACCTATGATTGTAGGTTCGAATCCCGGTTTGCCCCGATTATGTTTCTAGATTTGTCAGCACCATACCCGTGCTCGTGGGTTTCACCGAATTGATACACGTCTGAGACCCGCATCACTACGGGCTTTCCTCCCACATTAAGCTGACACGCCGTGATATAACTGGAATACTGGGATACTGATACAGATACCAGTCATTCTTACACACGGACTGTAATTCGAGGACCGCTTTCAATAGATGGACGGAATTTACTACGAAAATGCGTTACCACAATGGTGTACGGAGGTATTCTCTGACAATGTTATTATCATGTAATTATTCTTAATGCTATACCTCGTAACTCTCTCTCTATATATATTGCTTGAACAAAGAGCCCACATCTATGTTGTAATCGGTGCAACTGTGTGTCCACATACACAGTCTCAGGTGGCTAACGTCACACCTCCCATCAAGTCAGCTCTATTTTGCAAGCATTATTTAATTCCCGAAGACATTTTGAATGAAAGGAATTAAAATGAAATTCGTTTTATAATCATATTTAACAAACCTACGTGTATTTTGCCGAGTTCAAAACCTTACACACCCGTTCTACATTTGGATCCAACTGACATGGGACCCGTGAAGATTCGGAGTAGAATAGGTCTTCAGCAACCAATGCTTGCCGTAAAAGGCGACTATGCTTGTCGTAAGAGGCGACTAACCGGAACGAGTGGTCAGGCTCGCTGACTTGCTTGAAGCATATCAACGATCCAAATTGTGTGGATCGATGCTAATGATCACTGGATTGTCTGGTCCAGACTCGATTATTTCCAGACCTCCGTCATATAGCTGGACTATTGCTGAGTGCGGCGTTAAACAACAAACCAACCAATTGGCATCGACCATTCGACTCGTATACGACGTTAAAGTGAATACATTTTTATAGTGTACACTTATGTATATATATAACTCTTAACTGCGTAATGCATATTCATGATAATCAATTAGTCTCGTTCCTAATTAGAATGAGCACATTCTGAGTCTAAATCTGCAAGATGACAGACACAATCCTTCATTGGACAATGCATTATCATTTGTTTTCGTTTAATCTATTGTACTTAACATTTGAAGTCATTTCATGTAAAGTTTCAAGGAGTACTGTAATTGTGAGGTATTATGAATGAAATTAGAATATGAATAGTGACAAAACAGTCACCATATGGGTTGTACATGTATAACTTGTCTTCCAACACCACGCCTTTTCCGCCGACGCCCGGGGGTCATAAAACTAATTTGTCCCATAAAAGAGGCAATTAGTTTCGCCGATACTCCGCAGTAGCTCCGCAGGGGTGTTTACGTAGCTACGCAGAAATTTTACAAACATTCTGCGTAGGCCACGCGTAGCAGCGCAAAAGTTTTACAAACATTCTGCGGAAATTTTGCGAAATAAAGTAAAATACTTTTACGTTGTAGTGTATATCATGCAATGTTTTTGAGACGCTGTAAAATAAATAAACATAACGTTTATTACCATTTCTCTCCAATATGACATGTGTTCAATCCATATGATGTATAATGGCCCACATGTTTTAATAATTCTTCTTCTACAAATTTGAACTGTGTAAAGTGATAACTTTGGAGCATATTATAAATATTTTTATTATTATTATTATAGCTAAACGTTAACATACATGGCGAGCTATTTAAGAGATAACGATACACATAGATCAGTAGGGGGGCACGGGTAGCCGAGTCGTCTAAGGCGCCGCGATTCGCTGTGCAGAGTTGCGTCCCTTGGGCACGCCAGAAACCTATGATTGTGGGTTCGAATCCCGGTTCGCCCCGATTATGTTTCTAGATTTGTCAGCACCATTCACCGAATTGATACACGTCTGAGACCTGCATCACTTCGGGCTTTCCTCCCACATTAAGCTGACACGCCGCGATATAACTGGAATAATGTTAAAAGCGGCGTTAAACCCAACTCACTCACTCTCACATAGATCAGTAAATGTTCTATTACCTGATATGGTATGTCTGTCATTCTGAAGTAAGTCTCCAGCTTCACAGCAAATGGTATCATACTGGGTGTCCACGGGCCCCGTCCTGGGTGGTGAAAGATGACGACATCGCTAGGTCGGGTTGTCTCCTGGCTTGACCTGGAAACCGTCAGAATACTTGGGAGTATACCTCTATCGAAGATATAAGACAAAATACATTCTGCTTGCAAATTCCTCCTCTCACTCCCTCTCTAAACAGGTCGTTCTGACGTGACTTTTAATGGGATGACTTCAGAACTAAAATCTGATTTTAATGAGATTGACCGGTGATTGATATTGTGAATTAAAACAGAGCGACAAAACGGTGACCTCCCATTAGTCAGATGTCCCATTAGTCAGACAACTTAAAACAAGAAATGATATGACTGATAATCTCCTGACTCTTACCTGTAACATACTGGTTTAGTCCAATTGTTGGTGATAAAATATGCACTATAAGCATAAATATGGGGGGCGGTCGGGTAGCCTAGTGGTTAAAGCTCGTCACGCCGAAGACCCGGGTTCGATTCCCGACATGGGTACAATATGTGAAGCCCATTTCTGGTGTCCCCCGCCGTGATAAAGCTGGAATATTGCTAAAAGCGGCATAAAACCATACTCACTTACCCACTCATAAATATGGCACAGAAATACTGCAGAAGGAATTAAACAAAATACAAATATGCGCAAATAAACGGGGCTTCTCACTAAACGCCGAAAAAACACAGGGATAGTTTTCAAACACAAATAATATGCGCGCAAACACCCCCAAACTACAACTAAACATAAATCCCATGAATTTCAAAAAAAAAAAACAGACTAAATTTCTAGGACTAATCTTTGATGAACATCTAACCTGGGGCGCTCACATCAAAACCTAATAAACAGATGCAGTAAAGATCTAAATACACTGCGCTGCCTGACAGGTTCCAACTGGGGGATAACGATAAACTAAACTCAATCCAATTCCAAGGACTTAAGATAATCACTCGCACACAACAGGGCACCTCGCTTACCTCACTGCAGGCTCTAACTGGCACAATCCCCCTTGATTTACGCCGAGAACAGTTAACAATACATGTCTGGACCTCAACCCAACAAAACACCCCCAATCAAACACATCCTCAAATACAATAAAAAGCTTAAAAAAACAAACACTAGCACGGAAGAACCCATTATTAACACCGATCTCTCAACACACACTCAAATACTTAAACATACACAACTTAAACGATTGAAGACTAAACACAAAACCAAACAACATAGTCACATCCAAACGAAAAAAAAACAATATAGACCCAACACTTTCCTCCAAACTAAATAAAGAAACCGACCCCAATGCCGCCAAAGCCATCACACTATAATGCATACACGAAAAAGGGCCAAATTGGTGTCACATCTATACAGACGGGTTCTCCCACACAGGAACACACAGGATTCGGCATCCATATATACCAACCAACAAAAAAAACAAATGCTATAGGCTCCCAAAAAATCAATCAATTTTCACGGCCGAATTAATGGGGATGGCTACAGCTCTACATAACCCCTAAATTAAAAAACAAAAACCAACCCTAATCCTAACTGACTCACTAAGTGGACTCCAAGCTATTGGAACCAAAACACAAAAAAATCGACCTAAATTACTTCAACAGATACTAAAAGAGCTCCAACAAACTCCGAAATAGAATTCGGATGAATCCCTGCCACGTCGGAGTGTTTGGTAACGAACACGCTGGCAAAGCAGCCAAAGCATCACTAAAACCAGAGAAAAATAGCATCAACCTACCAATATTTAAAAACGAGATTAAAAGTATCACTAAGAGTAAAATCTTCCAAAGTGGCGAACCCAATATCAGAAATTAAACTGTAAACTAAAACAGGTGCTCCAAAAGCCACTAAAAAACCTTCATAAATCCAAAAATATCGACAGGGCAATAATCAAATTACAGACAGGACACACTAAACTCTCACCTACACAACATCAGAAAATACCAAACATGTAAATGAACTCACTGTAACCTAATAGAAACACCTGCACATGCACTATTACACTGCACACACCACCAACAACACAGACCCCTCAAATCCACAATAACCTGCAACAACCAAATGTCTCTGGCAACACTTCTAAACCCACTAAACGACCTACAAAACTTCAAAGCATCAGGCATTTTTCTAATTAAAACAGGCCTACTAGCTCGCATCTAATAAACTACAAAATCTTCCTATAACCAATCTAAAACCCCCAAAAAACAAACCCTAAAAGAAAATATAAGAAAATAACACACAACCACACAAACTCCCTTAGTTCCCCCACCTATAGCACTGTATTCTTCAAAATTACAAATTTCCCCAAAATTGAATAAGCAGCCCAAAAGACCCCCAGGTTGCCCTTCCTTTTCGGATATTCTCTCCTCGGTAAAACCACTAAATGGCCTGGCGGGCCCGTGTGCCAAATACGCATAAAGTCGGAAAGCGCACGTAAAATCCCCATCTCTCTCTCTCTCTCTCTCTCTCTCTCTCTCTCTCTCTCTCTCTCACATTATAATGACACAGATTCGGTAAGCAAACACGCTGGTCAAAGTGAAACCCGTGTTCCCATACTCTCAATAAATGTCCGGCCCGACTTGGCCCGGGCTGCATAAATCACCTTAAACCTCACAGATGTATCATCACACGTGTTTACATCTATAGACTAGTATTATGTCTACCTACATACAGCTTTATAGTGCCACATATCGTGGTATTTAAAGCAAACACGATGCACAAAATGAAGCCATTTTTGTTCTACATTCTAAACATGGTCTCTATCAAAAGTGTTTGGTTTGTGTTCGGTCCGACTTATCGGCCTATCACAATCTTAAACCTTTCATATGTACAATGTGTCATCAAATGTGTTTTAGACCAATAGAATTGTATAATATCTACCTATATACCACTGTATAATATCACATGCAATATTCCAGCTATATGGGGGCGGTCTGTAAATAATCGAGTCTTGACCAGACAATCCAGTGATTGACATAATGAGCATCGATCCAAGCAATTGGGATACGATGACATGCATCAACCAAGTCAGCGAGCCTGACCACCCGATCCCGTTAGTCGCCTCTTACGACAAGCATAGGTGCATCTTACGACAAGCATAGGTGGCTCTTACGACAAGCATAGGTGCATCTTACGACAAGCATAGGTGGCTCTTACGACAAGCATAGGTGCATCTTACGACAAGCATAGGTGCATCTTACGACAAGCACAGGTGCATCTTACGACAAGCATACTCGCGTGTTACGACAAGCATAGGTGCATCTTACGACAAGCATAGGTGGCTCTTACGACAAGCACAGGTGCATCTTACGACAAGCATACTCGCGTGTTACGACAAGCATAGTCGCCTCTTACGACAAGCATACTCGCGTGTAACGACAAGCATAGGTGCCTCTTACGACAAGCATACTCGCGTGTTACGACAAGCATAGGTGCCTCTTACGACAAGCATACTCGCGTGTTACGACAAGCATAGGTGCCTCTTACGACAAGCATACTCGCGTGTTACGACAAGCATAGTCGCCTCTTACGACAAGCATACTCGCGTGTTACGACAAGCATAGGTGCCTCTTACGACAAGCATACTCGCGTGTTACGACAAGCATACTCGCCTCTTACGACAAGCATACTCGCGTGTTACGACAAGCATAGGTGCCTCTTACGACAAGCATACTCGCGTGTTACGACAAGCATACTCGCCTCTTACGACAAGCATACTCGCGTGTTACGACAAGCATAGGTGCCTCTTACGACAAGCATACTCGCGTGTTACGACAAGCATAGTCGCCTCTTACGACAAGCATACTCGCGTGTTACGACAAGCATAGGTGCCTCTTACGGCCCTCTGCACTCTCAACAAAGTAGACACAATTCATGGATAACAAATTCTTTAATACTGTACATTCTCAACATAGTCTCTATCAGAAGTGTTTGCACGTGGTCTGTGTTTGGTCCGAGTTTGCTCGGGCGATCAAAAGCGAGTAAAACCTCGTGGATGTGTCGTGGAAAGTCTTTAGACATGTAGAATAGTATTATGTCTACCTAAACACGGCACAGTAAATGAAGTGAAGCCACATCTCGCAACTCTCAACGTACTCTAGAGATCACACGTAAATGTTTCATGTTTTTTGTTCAATTTTTATGACACATCGATTGATCGATGCTGATTTCCTTTACCGAGATCGATAAACAAAGTACATGTGAAACGCGACACAAGGGCGGGCAACTCTATACTATCGCGGTATGGCTATCTTGTTGAGTTATACGTGTGGAATATGTGATTTACATAACTTCCTGTTTTGGATTATGAATAATCAGTATGCATACGACCAAGGTTTGGGTCAAGGGGCTTATATATGTAGGGTTCGGCCAAACGTGAAATTAGTATCAACATGTTGCGATATCTTTATATATGGAGTTACGTCTCATCAGGCGAGAACAGGTAGTGTGTATTACAGGTCACGAGAGGAGCAACTCGCTTCCTCCCTCTGCTGTCATTTGCTTGGAACCTCAATTTCAGCCCTATCATCAACGTCATGTTATATACATAATAGTATCGAGTAGTTGAACCAGCTACAGGCACAGGGTACTAGTGTCTTACCACTGACCCATTTCCTCTGAACCCAACGGTCTCCGTGTGTGTGTGCTGCATAAACAAGGAAAGGGAGGTAACTCTACCTTGACACAGCGCAAAACGATATTAATTTGGGAGATATGAGACTGCCAACCCAGCGTTAGACATCGGCACTAGTCCTATAGCCCTTGCCAAACTGCACAATAATTACGGTATGCTATCTAAGGGCTAGTAGAAAAATTGCCCTTTTTTAAAGGTTTTTCTGTATGTTATCATTATAAGGACTGTTATCCTTAAACTGTTTGCTTCTATCGCTGTAACCTGCTTTTGATACGGGGGGATTCGGGGGTCTATTTTGAGGATATTCGTTCGGGACTCAGCAGTGTCGTACGCAGGCTGCATATAAATTCGTATTTGGTACGCATAATCAACATTTAAAAAGAATAATGATGTTTGTAAAAAAGATCCTATACATAGTTTTCTGTACTTCAACTTAGCACTATTTTATGAGCTAGGGACGTGTTCTGTCGGTTTTCGTCTGTGGCCGACATTCTGTCTGTGTAGAGTGAATTGTAACGTGCTTTTGAGATTAACTACTGTGCTCTAAAAAGGGAGCGTAATTTCAGCCTCCCCCCCCCCCCCCCCCCCCCCTCACTTATTTGTCGACATGGCAGTTCACTCATACAGTGTAAAGTGTTGTTTTTTTTATCTTATTGGTAATATCATGTTTGACAAAAAATCACATTTGTTTATCTTATCAGATTTGCCCATCAATATGGATTGTGGGAGGAAGCGTTTAAATGATAGGAGTAGCTATATCTTTGCTCTTACTGGTGACGGTGGCACTGATGGCCTGATGACATTTGCATTGTACATATTATATGCTTGGAGATAATGAGTGGCAAGGCTGTTGTTTTCTGTTTGAATTGCAATACGTATATATGTTATACATCTGCAGTACAGCCGTATATAGTGCACGAAGAGTCGTTATAGTTCTGGCAGTTTTATACATACGTTTGGTTTCACAAGGACTGAGGCTTTCATCTTATGATATTACATTATATCGCGTACATGCTGTACTCATGGGACCGCCTCCGTGGTCTAGCGGTAGAGCGTCCGCCCGGAGAGCGGAAGGTCGTTAATGGATAATACTTTTTGTTACCCTGTCTCGCGGTCGGCACTATGGAGCTGAGTCAGTATACTGTGTCTGAGTGGGTTATTCATGATAAACTGTGGCATAGTATCTCAGTGGGCTAGCACTATAAAATCGGCATTAGTCCGTCCTAGTACAAGCAGACACACACACACACACACACACACGCACGCACGCACGCACGCACGCACACACACACACACACGCACGTGTATGCACGTCGCTATGTAAGTGCAATAACCTTGGACGCGACGTTAAAACCCATTTCACCCCATCTCACTTTGTACACCTGGGTGTAGGTAATGTTGTTCACTGCTATCAACTCCCCAGTAGAAGGGTCTGTTGCATGGTTGGGAGGACACAGTCCCAGAGCGTTTTCATATCATTTTTATCTCTGGTTTTACGTGTCGGGCTTCAGCACTCTACAACATTACTATCCCTTTTGTGGTGTATATGTTTACACACGGGTACTGAACGTGCAGGAAGTGTTGATGTTTAATAACGAGGCCGTGCACTGCTATGCCACTTATATGGCGTGGAATCCAAATTGGACGTATCGTTGGACCTCGGCGACTTGTGCTCCCTAAACATGTCGGGTACGGTTCTGCCACTTATTGGTATCAACCTAGGAATTGCCCGAACTGTTAATGTGGCAATTTGGTGTCGATTCCGTAGATGCACCAACCGAATATGGTTGTCTTGTTGACGTGACGTCACACTTGGACGAGTCATCATTGTTGCCCTGCTATAGATAACGTCCTCAAAGATATTATATTGTTTCGATGAACATTAAAATGTCTGCCAACTTCGTTTTGTGCCATTCCTGCATACCCACGACGCGTAGACAGGTTGATTTTCAGCAAGCCGTGGCATTGCGTAAGCGTTATTTATGATTAAACAAAATATTTTCTTAGGAGCACCTGTTCACATTCAAAAGTCACGTATGTGAGTATCTTGCTGCCAACAGACACGAAACAGACTTTAACGTCGCATTTAAGATCATTGCACTTATATTGCGAAGTGGATGCACGTGTATGTGGCTGCTTGTAGTCCGGACTTAAGCCGGTCTTGTAGTGCTAAACCACTGACATGTCATGTCGCAGTTTTCCATGGATGCCCAACTCAGACACAGGACAAGGTATAGCCATCTCTCCGGGCAGACGCTCTTCTACGGAATGGGGGCAGTTATATTTTTATGATATCACCTAGATATCTTTATATTACTGTCAGCATTAGCAATTGCCCCATTTTCACTGTTTTAATATAACATGGGCTACCAGTTACCAGCTTTCGTTGGCTGTGTTTTGGTGAGCTCGTCTCGGTTGTAAATCTCAAGATCGCTTCAATATGGATACTGATAATGAAGATATTTTAAATTCATTTGGATTTGAAGACACGTCTACTGATGATGCATTTCGAGAAAACATACATCACAACGGTAATAAGAAAACGATTATACCAGTATAAAACAAAGTGAAAAGACCACAAATGTTCTCACCATTATATTTGTATTTTATGTTCGATAGTTGACCAGAGATGAAGGCTATATCTTCAGTTCGTGGTGTTCAGAAAAAAGTATTGTTGATGTGAAAACACTGAAAAAGGTGATCTTGTGATTTGTTTGATCAAATGGAAGGTGGCAATAAATGGAAGGATGACATCAGTGTCAAGGTTTGTGTCCCGACAAGTCGGAATCAGAGCAAAAGGCTGACATATAACATTGACTGTGACGTTGAGGTAAATGAAATTGTTGAACAGCTTTGAGGTCAAAAGGTTATACATGCCAAGCGTTTATTAAGAGGAACAAGAAGTCACTACCCCTGTTTTGTTGAAATTTGCCAAACCTCAGTAGATGGTTGATGAATTACAATCAATTCGTGTCCGTCTTTAGCGATAATGTTTCAGTTGGCAACGCGTTTTGGTCACCTGTTATCTCAGTGCAAAATTAACATTCCGGAGTGTACAATATATAGCGGGGACCATAAGATGGAACATTGTAAGGCCAATTGTGTTTCAAAGTGTCGAAACTGTGCAGGCAACCACTGTTGTTTACCGAGGCTGTGATAAGTACAAGGAAGCAGTGTGGGCTCAACGAGTCCGAGCAAGAAATGGGTATTGAATGCCAAAATCACCAGCTTGTCAAGATCTGCTGCCGCTCACGCGTCTGCTGTATCAAGCAGCAGTATTGTTTAACCTTCACCCAGAAAGGCCCTTCTGGAGATACGTTCTACACATACTCCCAGACAACCCGATGTACGATCTGATGTTCCACCTGATGTACCTGTTTGTTCGTGTACCTGTAGAGTACAAACACTTTAGCAGTTCCAAGAGCTGCTTTATCACTGGTTAAACCTACTATAATTCCAGAAACTCCCCCCAAATATCTATGACGTTTTCGTTCGAGATCATTGCTGGCACCTGTGGCAGCTGATACCACCCATCCCTCTTTTGGTGGCTTAACAGATATCTTGAATAGTTTGCATGATGAAATAGAATAATGGATAAAACTCTTGTTTTCCTTATTACAAAGTGATTTACAATTTTGTGTGCATTTCAGTGTTTTGTGTATGAAAATGACCATCCGGTTCCGTATATACGGGTAAATTTATATAGTAATTATTTCGTTTTGAATGAAAATCGTCCGGGAACCGAGGTTTCCGGATATCTGAAGTCCGTATAAGCGGGGCATGACTGTATACTGCACTGGAATGCTCAGAGTCAAGTAACTCAGGCGATAATCTGAAAGACATATTTAAAAATATCCAAGCTGCCAGAGTTATGATTTCAAAAAACTTTTCTATCGCCTTGGAGCAATGTTTTTAATACAAGACCACTTCAGTTTCCCCCGAAAAGAAAGAAGAGAGGGCAGTTCTATTTTTCCAAAGTCTGATTTGTCTGTCAAGGAGCAAAAGTTGGTGAGTTTAGGTTTACTTCAACAAAACTAGATCAATCACAGTGTTGTACAACGATTATATGGCGATTGTAAGTCACAGTAATTAATAAAACCAGACTACGATGGTACAATTGTCGAAAATATTTTAAGCAAATCAGACCTGAACATTTTAAATTAATTTAAACTCACCAGAATGGATTTCGACAGATTATCCTCATCATTCTATTCTAAATGTGAAGATCCTTGGTAGAATAGGTCTTCAGCAACCTATTCTTGCCCTAAAAGGCGACTATGCTTGTCGTAACTGGATCGGGTGGGCTAGCTCGCTCACTTGGTTGATGCATGTCATCGTATCCCAATTGCTTGGATCGATGCTCATTATGTCAGTCACGGGATTGTCTGGTCCAGATTCGATTATTTACAGACCGCCGTCATATAGCTGGAATATTGCTGAGTGCGGCGTTAAACAACAATGTGACTAGGTTCTGTTCCAAGAGTTTGATATTTATCTGGACGTTCCAAGATGGAAATGTGAAAATGGTCAGAATGTTTTCCGTGAGCAACATTTTACTTCTGAAGTATTAAACGATGTTGACTTTTCAAACAATGACATTTCCAAACAAGTATTGAAACATCCTGGGCAGACACTGAAAAAAGACATCAAGGAGGCAATCTACATTGACACCCAAAGTGTGGCGGAACAATAAGTGGTCTAGACATAAATAGATCTGTGGCACAGGACTTACAGCCAGTGTCTAGATCGATGTCCAGCAACAAACCTTCAGAACGTTAATATACCAGTTGAGCAACTTCCGAAATTTAATTTCAGAGTGTGTCTCCATTTTTGCTTGAAATGTCGGAGGCCATGTTGGAATATAGCTCTGACTTAAAACACCCTTTCTCTTGCGATGTGCTCCAAGGTGTCACATATTTAAGTTTCGACGATTGTTTAGCGCAAACACGATGTTTAGAAAATCTCGCCAAAAACGGCCTGTAAACATTCCAGTGATTGATATCATGAGCAATGATCCACACGTCGTGTCGTTGTGGGGGCTGCTCAATTACACAGTTCATATAAACCACTTGATGTGTTGGGCGCAAGTAGACCTACGCCAAGTTGCCCTATAAATCTACCAACGAACCAACGTGAAATGTAATTGTCATTGGTACACAGAAACGATCGACCCTGTTCAACACTTTCATGTAAACTGCGAACAAGCTCAACGAATTCGAAGCATTATCAGCCCATTTTCTTTGTTCTATAAAAAAAAAAGAAATTCATAGTGCAAGAGATACCATGCCGCAGTTTAACATGAATACCCCACTCGGACACAGTATATTGATTCCGAGCCGGCCAGTCCTTATTTAAGCCCCTTAATGCCGAGCGCCAGGCAGGCTTACAATAAGTACCATCTTTTAACGTATTTTGGTATAACGCGGCCGGGGATCGAACCCCGGACCTTCCGCTCTCCGGGCAGACGCTCTACCACCAGACCATGGAGATGGTCGTCTTCTGTTCGGACTTAATGTATGTAAAGCATGTTATTCCTCCTTTGTGTGTATATGTACCCAGTGTAGAACGACACAATAACACCTCCACTACAATTTCTACGAACAATAATATGTACGTTTGTATATAGAGCATTCCACACCCCGTCTGGGCTACACATCATGAATTGTAACAAAGTCCTCGTTGCACTGGATAGCTAGTAACAACTAAATATCTTTATTCATTTTATTCACAAAATGGTAGGAACATACAATAATATATGAAAACACTAACAAGAGACATAACAATATTCAAACAATGAACAAATCAAAGTACAAAGTAACGACAAATGTTGTTGGCATAAACACGAGGTTCCCGCAGGGATGACGAATGTACTTCATACAAGCATAAGGCCGAACAATTATATTGTTCCTCGTGTCGACCAGCTTGACTTGTATTTAAGTAACAATGGCCTTTTCTACTTTGAAGGGCAGCAAGACCCTGTTGCTCGCCATGAACTGATAGTTATATGCGGTAGAAAATACGGCCACCAATTGAGACTGTCATGAGGGGATTCAAATGTATTCCATATCTAAGAGTGTACTTATTTGACTGTGCAGTGAGTTTGATTTCATTATTATAATATTAACTGGAAAGAATCACAACATGCGGATCAGCAGTTTCTGATGTGTAAAGCGTTTTACTGTCGCCAGATAATCAACCATGGCCAAAGATGATAAAAGTGCAAAAGATAATGCCTATGAAATCAAAACCTTGTAGACACAAGATTTATCTCCAGGTCACTACTGAGGAGGATATTATTAACAATGTCTTTACTGATGAAAGCACATTTCGTTTCAATAGAGAAATCCAAGTGACAGTTTCAGCTCACTAGTCATTATGAGTTTCAATTTCATCAATATCAGATGTTAGCTTTCTCTACCGGTAAACAAAGATCTGAGAGCATCCCGTAACAGGTCACGTCATAACGACCTTTCGCGAACTTTGTCCGACCAATGAAATGACGAAAAGGAATAATCAAATCAGAAATCAGCTTTACCGAATTTTACGGCACAAGTTTCAAACTGGTGACTTCTATTCCATACTACGTTTGGAAAATATTTTGACAAAGCTCTCGATTCAAACTTTAAAAACTGAGCAAAATATCATTCTGTAATGTCCAATAGATCACCTAGATTGTATGGCAGTACTTTCCACAGGCAATGCAAAGTCCCTTCCGTCCAAATGTGATCCCATTAAAGCAACAGATAGACAATGATTTTGACGGGTTCAGTCGTACAACCCGTAACTGTCGCTCGGAATACTCCGTGTTAACCTTTTCGAGATTGCATGATCAGAAAACAAATTCTGACTGTCAATTTTCATCATCTGGTAAGCGACGCTCTGACTGGTCGGATGAAACGTCGTTCTGACGTGCCCTTTTGATGTCCTCAGATCTCTGTTAAGCGCTAGCGAGAACTAAGATCAGATTTGAATGAGATTGAGGGGAGTAAGATTTTCAACCATTTACAAAATGTGTGGTTTTTTTCTAATACGTGTGCTAATTTATTGAAATGATCAAATTAGATTCCCATGCATTGAAAATGAATAGACAGACGGACAATGCGCAATGCTTTAATAATTAACTTGGTTCTGAGGTTATGTCGAGTAATGACATCTACCCATTGTTTGAATAGGGGAACAAAATACCTGCAAAAGGAGAAATACAAGTTCAAACAGAAGGCTGTGGTTTGAGGCTGTTTGAAGGGTAATATGTCTTAGTAATCACAAACAATTTATACATTTTCAGAATGTTCTAAATATATACGTAAGAATCAATAATTTTATTATCATTTATGTTGTTCCTCAGTGGTCGATAACTGAGCGCAAGCTTTCTCCTTTGTTTGTTTAGACACACACTGGTGTTTAATTAACAAAATAGTGGACTTCATGTAGAAGTGAATGTAACAGAACCTGCTTCGGCCTTTCCTCATGATGGGGACATTCTGCCCTTCGACAAAAAGTACGAGTTTGCACGTAAACAAGAGCTGTGTAAAACCAATAAGATCGACCACAAGAGTACTATGGCGGGATCCCCTATATGCACATAGTCGCCAGAAACGATTTCTACCTTGAGGTAGGTCTCGAAGTCAATCACACTGAATAACTTCGTTCAAACAAGGGGACAACATTAGGCTGCTAACGTCGGGTATGACTGTATATAAGTTAAAGGTTATTATGCACATATATGTACATCACCAGCAACTGTGAGCTGCATCTTACAGCTCAGAGTCGAAGCATAACTCACAACATGTACACCAACACAATCACGCGAATACAAATGCCACAAAATCACGAGTGTCTGACTTAATGTACTACTAAAGATTGCATGCCAGGAACAATCACTCGCAAACACAAATCTTTGGTTTCTTCCGTTGGTTACATCATGCATACGGCAACTTCATTTAACCGAATCATTCTCACGCAATTTATGTACCAATTACTTTCATATTGTTGAATGTTGGTGAGGAACGCATTGATCGCCGGGAAAACTATAATGTTCAAACCAACATTCTATTTAAATTGTGCTTTGAAAAATACTCTATATAAATCCCTCCCTGCAAACACGCCTGACTCCGCACAACGCGATATGGCCCGTGATCGGAATCCTTTCTGAATTGACAGTGCTAGATTTAAACAGTTCCACACTGAAAACGAAGTAACAATAACTTAGTGCGCCTATTCCAATATTCAATTATCCTGGAAACCGTGAATTGTTTCCCCATCAAACTAAAACCAGGTATTGTTAAAAGACGCGATATGATCGCGTGGGTACTCGTAGGACTAACACTAACTTTAGACTTCTCACGAATGCAAACAACATGCAGAGAACTACATTCTCCTTCAAACGGAAACTCTCATGTTCGTTCATAGCATATGCCCAATACAATTGTTACATAAAACAATGCCACGGATCCTCGACACTCTCATTTTACAAAGATCTCCTTACTTTGGACGGACAAATGTTCTAACTTCCATTGTTCTGATGGTTCTCTATCCCGATGTAAATGTCAATGATTGAGCAGTCTACAGGACCGAACTGAAGTAAGACTGTCCCTGTCAACACAATACCACGACTTTCACAGTAACAGTTTGTGAAACTAGCTGCTTAACTAACCCTCATGCCACTATCTACAAACAACGTCTCAACATATCATCTGGGAATGTAATAGGACAATCAAGATTAGAGTTCGGCCAGTTCATGACTTTGGTGACTATTTTGAAGACAAAACCAAACTTTACCATAACGGAAAATCAAATAATGATCTTTCTGGTGGCTTCTAGACTATCAAGTGCAACACAAACCAATTGTTTGGTTAAACATGTGATGTTTTCATCTGACATGATTAAATCGCAATCTTCCCCAAGAGCCAACAGAAGGCAGTGATGTCGTTAGAACTAAATAACTGTAGAAATTAGTGTACTGAAGACCCGTCTCCCGTTTTCTTCTTTCGCCCTTTCTTTCTTTTGGCAACATTTTCTTTGGCTTTGGGGTCTTTACATGCACACTCCGAGGTACATGTTTTGGCAAATGGCATGACTTGGCCACCAACTGTGGAGCGACAACAGTCACCGCCGTCCCAGTTGCAGTGTTCCCGGTTGTCACGGCCGTCACACCATCCATCAGACATAGACGCCTAGTCAAAGAAACTAGAGTAACTGTTTAATGTCACAAACACAATATATAGTTATGGTTAATTTATATCATCGGTCAATGTGTATTGCTATACAACAGTGAAGACCTGTTTTGACATAGCCTTTTTGCCCTGCATGCAACTGGAAGGAACTTTATTTGCATAGTCTCAAGTGTCAACAATAACAATTTCAACCAACTTCAGTTTCATGTACAACAAGGGCGAAAATGTAAATCCTAATGACACACCATAGGATTAACAACAATATCTTACATAGTGGACAAACTGTACCCACCATACACCAACAATACATGAGTAATTGAAGGACTTGGTCAATCTCAAACACCAAAATCAGGAGAGTTTATGTCACAAGCTGGTATGGCAACCCTATTGAAAACTCATTTGAAGCCATTTTTACAATCTTTGCCTAAACTCTACTGACTTTTTAAATATGATCCTTGATTTGGCATACGCACTTTAACAATGCTCATTTTCTTAACATGCATTCTGGCTTATGTGGACATTTTAATGTTCATCAAAGTTGATAATCTTCATTCCAAAATCAAAACTGAAGTAAATAAAGATGCGACTAACGGAATCGGAGGGTCAGGCTCGCTGACTTGGTTGATGCATGTCATCGTATCCGAAATGCGTAGATCGATGTTCATGACGTCCATCACTGGATTGTCTGGTCCAGATGCGAATATTTACAGACCAGCGTCATATAAGTGGAATATTTTTAAGGCAGCGTTGAACAAGAAACAAACAAACAAATCATAATTATCTGTTTGTTGTACATGTATGTAACCTTCACCTATGAAAATAATATTCACGTTACTTTATGTGAAATTATGCAACATCCTCTGCGTGCCGGCTGTAATGATATATCACACGGTATTGGACACTTACAACGCTGCACTTCTCCACACATTTAACGTGTCTCGGGTTCGGGAACCAGTGAGAAGATCCTGTACATGTGAAATTTGTGATGATTTGGCCTGTTGTTGGCCCATTGAGAACACGTTTCTTCCGTCGAGTCGTCCTTCCCATGTACACAGCTTCGTGGATAGAAAATCGGCATCTCACCCCGCAAGTTGTGCCTGGAAGAACACACAAGAAGAACACTTTTGCCGTGTCTAGCTCCTGTTCATACATAATTTTGATTCCCTAAAATGAGTAATTACTGAAATGACTTAACTTTGAGAAGGAAAGTAGTAATCGTTTCTGTAAATACACTTCTGCGTTATCGCAACGTTTTCGCAGCAGTTAAACATTACAAATCCACAGTAGTCCTACCAAAGGCATAGTTCCCATGAGGGCAGTCGATGACTTGATCTTGGAGGTGCGATGGTGGCTCGCATTTGGCAGCAAGATGTGAACGACAGGGCTTGAACTCACCAGACCACATACCGTTAGACTTGCATATGATTTTCTGTTTGGGCTAGAAACAAGACAGTTTGATGCTTCTCTATGACATCTAAGGGCAACAGTGAATGTTGTATTATGCCGCAGTAAGCAGTATTCCAGCTACACCACAGTGGTTTTAAATAATGAAACCCGGGCCAGGTAAATCTGTGTTTGTCAGCATTGAGCATTCCTTAATAGGGAGTCGGTTCGTCCGGAATCCCCATGGATCCCAGACGAAAACATCGGGTTTATGCGAATAATATGTCGTAAATAAAAATGCATAACATAATCAATAGTATCTGAAGTATCCGCAAGCCCCTTTACAAAAACGGTTACCAGATGAGGTTTTTACAGACAGTGTAATATTCTTTTACCTGGCTGTTGTCTTTACATCTGAGAACACAACGGCTCCGAGCTTTGTTACTGCACTTAAAGAGACCAGCTAGGGCTACCGGTAAGGAAGGGCACTGTATCCTCACACAACGGGGTCCATTCCATTCTCCGTTGTCCCCACAGGTCAGCTGATAGCTTCGTCTGGAACCAGAATCCATGCGCAGCAGTTTACACACAGGCGGGCACACACACAGGCATACATGCACAGTGGAACCATGCACACTAGGTTGTGTACTGCACACAAGAAAACTGAAAGCTTGCACAACAATATATATATATATATATATACAGGCACATACAAGAGGGAGATGTCAATGTAACACGAGCGAGTAATACTTTTGTTGTTGATCATATTATACGTCCAAAAATGACAGTCAATATATTGGACATGTCTGATAACCTTAAGTTAAATATGTCATTTGTTTTAGAAAATAATCGCAATTTTCAGTGGTCCCAATCTCATTCAAATCCTACGTTAGTTCTCGCTACCGCTAAACAAGGATCTGAAGACATCCCATTAGGGGTCACGTCAGAACGACCTTTCATCCGACCAATCAGAGCATCGCTTACCAGATCATGAAAGTGACAGTCGGAATGTGATTTCTAATCATACAACCTCGAACACTTTAACACGGGGTATTCCTAACGATAGTTACGGGTTTAACAACTTAATCCATACAATCTAGACCATCTATTAGCCATTCCAGAATGTTCTTTTGTTTAGGTTTCAAATTTGTAATCGAGAATATGTCAAAATATATTGCGAAGCGTAGACGCCAATTTGAAAGGTCGGTCTGACGTGACCCGTAATGGGATGTCCTCCGATCTTTGTTTAGCAGTAGCGAGAACTAAGATCTGATTTTAATGAGATTGCAGTGGTCAAAAACATGCAGTCATCATACCTCGTCCTTGTCAGAGACTCATGTTTATACTTTTCGAACCATGCTAATTAAGGTGCATATTCTACGTTCAAACGTACTCACGTTCACGTGCACGCACACGCACCAAACAATACGCAACGAAATCAGTGAATCATTTCTTCCTTTTTTCTAGATTTTCAGAAGTAGAATAAAACTAAAATGTCGTGTTCTCCTGGCAAAATGGTAACGCTTACATTTAAAGTTGTCAGTGGTTTTATTGTTAGGTTCGGTCCTTACCCATCAGTATAGAGAACCCGCCTCAGTTGCTCTGGGCGCTTCGGAAAGTGCAATGTACATTATGTACGGGAAGTACCGAGCGGCTGGCTACATGGCACTGGTCTACTGGGGATTCTATTACCCTGGCATCAGTTGTAGCAGTGTGGTCCTGCGCCATGATAGTGGAATTCATATATATTGGAGATGCGAAAGACTATGAATACCAAATGATCCGTTAACCAGGGCAATACCTTGTCCAGCACTTTGGGCATTCCCCTTCGTGTTGTGGAGTCTTGCGCTATGCAATCTGCATGTCACTATTTAAGTAACCAATTCAACTTGTTGGGCTTTATGTTTGGAATCGTTGGCCGCATTATCAGAGACAACACATGATGTCACTCACCTGTTGAATTTCTGTTTCTCCACGTAAAATCCTTTCTTGCATTTAAATTTACAAGTTGTTGAGAGTGGTTTACGCCCTCGCTTACACTGCCTGGTGATGAGTTTGGCGTGTGGGATCTGCAGAGGAGGGTAACAACGTATATGGCACGTGGACGTGGGGGCCGACCACAACCCGTCAGTCTCACAACGTATGGTGTTGTCATAACCTATAACAACAAAAACTATAATGAAATCTTTAGTCCAAAAGTGAACAGATTATTCTTCAGATGGAATTTCGATAATCCCCTGCTACCAATTTTTACAACAATGTTTCTTTATTGCGGAGAACCTCTTTACCTTATATCATAACCTCGGGTCATTCATCTTCCACACAATCAGTACAAGCAGGCCTTTTATTCGGATATATTATTTCCAATAATGACTTTCATCATTTCTACAACTGGTTTACTTTCAACCTGGTGGTATGAAATAACGAGTAGGTGAGATAAGGATGTTACCCATGACAAAGCAAAAGCAAATTGCAGGAGCGACTTCACCAAAACCCCAAAAATGTGTGTAATCCCGATTAAAATGGAGGGACTGAGCGCAGGACACACTTCCTGTCAGGGAGGAAGCCATTCCAATCTTCTGGTTTCGTCCCTGTTCCTACCTTGCTGTCGAGCAGGTGGGTTGCACTTGAATGTACAGTTGTTGCCGTGTGTTGTTCCAAACGGACAGGCGGATGATGCAAATGGAACCGCAGGTATCCCACAGTCTACAGGTACACAGGCCATAGGTGCTGCGCTCACCCACTTCCCACTGGCACACAGCGCGCGGTCAGTGTCACCCTCCAGGCGGTACCTTTCCGTCAGAACATTGTCGAATATATATACACTATCCCATCTCCACAATCTCCTATAAATCATTACACTGTGTTTGTTACACATAATAAAAAACGTAATGTTCGTTACTTATCTACTGTCCACATGAATACATCATGAATCAGCTGTTCATTTCCTAGAATCATCAGCTGAATATACAGCAGAGGTGTGCGTTCCTATGGTTTTTTGTTTGTTTGTTGTTTAAGGCCGCACTCAGCAATATTCCAGCTATATGACGACGGTCTGTAAATAATCGAATCTGGACCAGACAATCAAGTGATTGACATCATGAGCATCGATCCACGCGATCGGGATACGATGACATGCATCAAACATGTCAGCGAGCCTGACTACCCTATCCAGTTAGTCGCCTTTTTACGGCAAGCATGGGTTGCTGAAGACCTATTCTACCCCGGATCTTCACGGGAGCGTTCCATGTTAAGGATCTGGCACGTGCTAGTGCATGTAAATGCTGGTAAGTTCTGTGCCCTTTTTTAAAAAACAAGAACCAGTGAATTTCACACATACAATGCAATACATGAGCTATGTTCACATACACACCTTCGTGTTAGAGTGAGAGTTCGAATTCCAGATTCGTCCTACATTGATTCCTGGAATGTCATCACCCTATCAGTACTCGTTTGTTTCACCACAGTGGTAAACGTCTGAGACATGCACAACATTGGGCTCCATGCATGAAGATGACGCGCTGTGAAATAACTGAAATACTGTTCAAAGCAGCGTTACGCCTAACTCAATACCAGATCACAACATTGTTTCAGAGGAAAGCCCCAGTGTCCCTATTGACTGACCCCTCCATGCAGTGTACAGTACAGGTGTGTCCCTCGGTGTTGCCGGAGCACTGCGGCAGAGCATGTTGCAGAAGGAAGCGGGGGCACGTGGTGGAACAGTTCTGTGTGATGCAGCTGAGAGATCGCGGACTGTACACCTCCTGCCGGCCACATGTTGCTATCGTTACCGGGTCCAAGAGTCGGGACGATCGAAGCTTCACAGCACGGAAACTGTTTCTGTAGTAGTTAAAACTCAGCCGAATACCTGCAAAAAACATCACCCTTGAACACACGTGACTAAAGATTAGGGGACACTGGTGTTGTGAAGTGACGATTGATGTTTACAATAACACAGATGCCAAAATAGCAAGGAAAAACCTAGAAACATATAACCGGGGTGAACCAGATCTACCTAATGATAACTGAGAGCAGCCCCATTCGGTGAAAGAGCAGACCATCTTGTTAACAAAACAATAAAACCAAGATTCTTAAAGTCCAAGATTTTTCAAATGACATCATATGTTTCCGTCTTTTCAACAAAGTCCAACACTGCTCATTTTATAAACAGAGACATGAGATTAAGGCCAATTTGGTGAGACTTTTCCAAGTCTTTTCACGTTTTTAATCAAGGTGATCAAGTGATTTGATGCACTTGAGGCCCGTTTTATTGCAATAAAGATTTTGATTATCGATCAGATCGTCTTGACTGGGCGCGCTCTTTTGTTTAAAGCAAATGCATGTGATATGAGTAGTGGAATCTGGTTGGTCAATAGGGACATAGAAGGGAAATAACTCGAAATAGCCACTGGTGGCGCTACAATGGAGCCATGAAATTCCAGTCTAATTCGGCAAGGCTGGAAACAGGACTTTTACAGTCAGTCAACTCGCCTGACCTTATCTTTGATTTCAAGTATTGTAAATATTGACTGTTATCAGACATGTATTCTCCTCATGGAGCAGTTAGACAGCACTTGCTTCAAATGCAGTATCTCGGAGATCAGGTTATTTGAAGTACTTCCTTTTCTTTTAAGCGACTCGTTTATCAACCGAAACAAATTCCATTGGGCATGAAAGGCAAGACAATAGTAATATAATAATAATCATCATAATATGAATAAATAATTGTAAATTAGTAATGGTGAGAGTTGTCAAAGTTGTCCAAACTTCCCAAGTCACTATCCCAATACCCTTCAATGTCTTTACGATGCTTAAATATTAACAGATATAAACACGTCTTCCCAACTACCTGCTCATGGAACGCAATGTCACACATGAAAATTGTGCAGACATTACATAATGGCATACTTTTCCAACATCTTACATAAGTTTAGATATAAATTTACTTTTGCAACAAGAAAGGAATTACCTTAAGACAAACGAGTGACAAACGTGTTGATCCTCAGTCTAAACTGTAAGTTACCGGAATTTGTTTTTTGTTTTAATACACGTGACAAGTGAACCTGTAAAAGCACGTTATTTCATTGATATGACCAAAATAACATATTACAGAACTGTAAGATCACTCGACGATAACACTTCAACACTAACGTACCCAAGGTGCCACGCACAACATAGTTGACCTAACAGGTCATTATTGCTGTCACAAGCACGTCTTGAATAAAGACTTTGTAGGAAGCTGAACTACATGTGTTTTCCTTGGTAGAGCTATCCTTGCATTTACAAGTAGATATAATCAATTGTATTGTGAACTGTATACTAAGCTGTTATGATGTGAAGTTCACGGTTTGTTAGTCGTTATGTAATACAATATACAGAACAATGTACTAGACAATATCTATACCTGTATATTGTACTATGTATTTGGACATGTCAAAATGTGAGACTATAGAACCCAGTTACCTGTCGTGTGAAAGAATGGCCGAGACAGGTCATGTGTCACGGGTATGCTGGTAATAGGTTTGGAACAATCAAGAGTTGTCGCCCGTGACGAGAGGGGAATTGAATCATTGTTGGACTTGATCAGCTCAACTGTCACATTCTTTGAAGTAGGGTCGTGTTCCGACCTGCCATCAGAGCCGATGTACACTAAAACCTCAGTAGCCACGACTGGTTCCAAGAAATATAGCTGAATAACAAGCACATGTTACAGATAATGAATTTTTCCACAGTTATTTATCAAAACGTACGACAAAAGTAACATATTGGTTTCAATATCATTACCCGAAGGAGATAACCTAAACTATTATATGTGTAAAATAGGGTACGTCTACATATGAAGTGAACATTGGGTGGCTGTACCTCGATCCAAAAGTTTCCATTGTAGGAGTGACTTCCACAGGGAAACCAGGCATGGCTCGGTTCAACGTCCATCCCACATGCCTGAAAACACAAGTTTAGTGTGTAGATGGGGCTCAGATTAATCGTCAAAATATAATCTATAAAACAGTGACCTGTCCACTTGTGTTTGAACGTGTTTTGTTTGTCTGTCTGCTGTTTAACGTGGCACTCAGTAATATTCCAGCTATATGACGGTGGTCTGTAAACACTCGAGTTTGGAACAGACAATCCAGTGATTGACATCATGAGCACCGATCTTCGCAATTGGGATTCGATGACATGCATCAACCAAGTTATTGAACCTGACCACGCGATTCCGTTGGTCGCCTCTTATGACAAGCATGGGCTGCTGAATTCTAAGCCGGACTTCCACAAGTAGCTTGACTGTCTAAAGATTCACAGCGCCAGGTCATTATGACACAGCCAGGACTGGTCCTCCAGGTGGTCACCGATCGAAGTATTTCGTACTATGTAACCAATGTGACCACACATCCACACTTCACTTGGAATCTATAGAAGAGTGGAAATTTACTCTTTTCCGCTATCTTCACGTGGGGGTCCACGAGGGGGTCCACAAGGAGGTCCACGAGGGGTCCACGAGAAAAGCACAATTATCTGCGTTCTGTTTATCTATTTTTCAAATCAGCTACCTAAATGTTTGAAGACAAACTGAACATTTCTTCAATTTGTATTAAATATATTTTTTTAACAAACGTGCATGATGTTTACTGATGGCGCACATTGGATTTATCTGGTGGTCCAGTCACAACTGTCTCTGGACACATGGGTAGTTGGAACTGCGGGTTGGCTGTGGCTATATGCGCCCACTGGTCCCTGTAGCCAGGCGGAGTGTAGTAGCCACAGTCGGACACACTGGAGGTCACCTCGAAGTCCTCACACACCCCGTCACCTTCATGTCGGTAACACAAGCTGGGTGAACCTGACAAGTACATTGGATAATGAAAGCTAGATCGTTGCCTTCCACATGCAGAACGTGGTGGCATCGATACCGTGCTGACATGTATGTGTATTTATATCTATCTGAAGAAGCGAGTTCACATCAACAAGTGGTAACACAATGATTCATCTTTAAGATAAAGAATAAGATTTTCTTTTCTTTTTTCTATTTAACCATTATCCTCCCACATGTTATGAAAGTAAGGAGAGGCCTTAGTGATTAAGAGCAAGTGAGTATGTTTTTACGCCGCTTTGAGATATATTCCAGAAATATCACGGCGGGGGACACCACAAATGGGCTTCACACAATGTTCCGATGTCGGGAATCGAACCCGGGTTTTCGGTGGGACGAGCGAACGCTTTAACCACTAGGCTACTCGCCCGCCCCTTAAGCGATCAGGAACAATAAAGCAAAAGTTGTAATTGGGTTTTTAATGACATTATTTGTATACGAGTTCATTTGGGCTAAACAAATCGTATGCTTAAAATAGGAGAATCCGAATGCAGTGAAAATAATCCGTTTTTGCCATAAAATAGACGACCAAACCCAAATAGAACCAGACTATACCAGAAGTGTGACACTCGCAGCGCTCTAGGTAGCGCTATATTAAACTTACCTGCAGCCCTAATGTTTTTCTCTGAACAGATCAGCGTGTATCGACTAAAACAATGCAAGTGTATGTAATCGAAAACACATGCAAATGTGATAGTGCACCAGTACGAACACATGAGGGGATGTATGTTTCGATAAAAAAATAACATAAATGTACATGTTTACCTTGGCAATGGAAGAACTCCTCGATTTTACACTCGACATTACATCCATCCCCGTCCATAGCATTATCATCGTCACACTCCTCTTGACTCTGGCTGAAAGATACGACAGATGGACTCAAGAGTAGTAGGGGACATGTAATCATATAAAACCCATGCCTATAACTACTGGCTCATAACAGTTCTTGCTTTGTCACGTCATACTCAAAGACAAAACAATGTTTTTGTAATTGACCTTATGTTGACGACTGCCCGTGATGCTATCCAATTAATGCAATCTTTCGTTGACAAAAGGAACCACGACTTTTTCCATAAGATTCAATGACTATCTTGAAAAGGATATTGAAAATCATAGAACGAAGTTCTTTACTTCTACTAACACCAACGTGTTCCTGTTGGATCTGATAATAACTGTAGGTCTTAATATCGCCACAGAAGAATGACTACCTCTCTAAATGACCGTCACCGCAGTAGTGTTGTCCGTGTGTATAGATAAGGGGTGGAGACATGGCGCTGAATGCCGTCCCTAACATCACCGTCACCCAGTACGAGTAGGTCTTCGACTTCTCAACTTCGCTGGAAGTTAATATCAAGCGAGGAATATACAATATCACCTCTCAGAGAAAGTGTTTCAATTGTTGGTCTTAGTATGCCCTTAAAATAGATTAATTAATTGTCATTTAGAAATAAAACGTGTGTCTCACATGTTACTTGAACATTAAAGGTAAATTTTGGAATATCTTAATATTTACTTGTGGTGCAACAAATAATTCTGTACATACATGATTTCGAATGTGATAATTTCATTATGTATGCTTAGGAGTTTATTTCATACTATGCTATGACCATGAATTACAATCAACTTTCAAACTTATATCCTGTCACTTACTCGTTGAACTTACAGATCAGAGAATCTGAGGTCACTTGTGTATCGAGAGTCGCCGTCGGTGAAAGGCGGCGACCTGGTCACCTTGTACTTGATTTTACTGCACGCCGAGCAATGGTGGTTAACTGGTTGGGACAGAATCTCTATGGCATCGATGGCGACGTACGGTGACCTGGTATATATGCGAATCTACAAGTGAATCAAATCATGGTATGTCATTAACCGGATTCACGTTGGTGCATAGTAAAATAGGAATGAAAACTTTACATACCTGGATTCGCATCTCCCTCATACCATTTTATTAAAGTAAAATGGCCACTCATATTTCCTGCCTTTGCTATATCATTGTCAGTATATGTTAGAACTCGTTTATTGTAAAAGACATCCAAATAAACAGAAATATGTATTAGTGGAACTGTTCGGGCGTTAGGTGCCATCAAGGTGCCAGTTCCCAAACTGAAGACCATTCAAAAACAGTCACCACGCCATATCTGACAACAGCCCAGCAATAACGCTGTGTGATTCGTTCAAATGAGAATAAACTAGATACTGAGATCACGCTGCCTCGCGGCTCATCTTAGTCACTTTGAAGTTGATTAGTTCTGCTCTTGTGATTTATCACTACCAATCTCATTTGAATCAATTTTGATCAGAATAGTTCTAGTTTTCATCTCTCGTTTCAACAATCTGCATGTGACCTCCGACAATCTTATCATTAAGGAATGTAGCTGGACAAATCTTTAAGGTTCACATATATTAATATTGATTTGATTAAAAAAATAAGAATGATTTGATTATCTTATAATTAGAAATAAATAAATGTTCAAGTGCATGACGTGACAGACGGAAGGAAAAGGGAAAACCAAACAATCGTCGTTGAAAATTAAAATTACAAGAACATATGTTGCGAAATCACGTGCAAGCTAAATTATATCGCAGTTAGTTTCAAAACGTACGCTTTTATTTCAAGATATTATGATTGAATGTGTGATTTTATCGTATTTATGATATGGCAGCATTACTTATTAGCAATGACTAGTGGTACCGCGTGTTTGAATTTAGCCCAAAGATGTAGCTAGAGGTTCCCATCCCGTTTCGAAATGTAGCGGAAGCAAACCAGAGAACCATAAATGCTTTTTGAATATATAACAGTTCTGCCCGAAAACCGTCCCAGACGTCAGATGCCGAATCAAGTCCTACTTTAATGTTGTTATTGTGGTATATGTTTTACTCAAACTTTTCTGGAGAGAGTAAAGCTATATTTCTTCATTATATTTAACAGTTTTGAACCAGACCAGACACGTTGTATGTTCAAAATGGGAACTCCAAATACAACTACAAGGAAGTTGCGAATCGGTTTATACTATATCTGGTCATATGGTCATGTGTACCTTCATTAAGTTGTTCTTGTATAAGCATCAACCAACCACTTCAGCTCACTTCGAATGTTTATCAGCAGATGGTGTACGTATGGAATATGCACATAGTCTAACAACAGTGTCACAGGTATCTGCTACATCGGTAATATTGACAAGAAACGGTAATGGACCAAGCATAGAACCTTGTGGAACACCAGCTTTTAACTTCTGGGCTGTGGAGTATTCTCCATTGACGAAGACCCTTTGCTCCCTATCTGAAATATAGTCAGATAACCAAAGGAGAAGTTTGTCTTGAATGCCATACTTTTGTAATTTATTCATGTGACCAGCATGCCAAGTCAAGTCAAGTCAAGGTCAAGTGATTTCTGTGATTGTGAAAATATCGAAATATGACTGTTCTTTTTTGTTTATGATGTGCATATTTCATGACAAAGTTCGACTGATTGATAAACTGTGTTGTGGCCCTTCTGAACCTGGTCTGGACCCACTTGCACAAAGCGATCTTAGCGCTAAGATGATTGTAACTCCCATCCTTAAACATAGGCTTACGATAGTCTTACCGCTAAGATCGCTTTGTGCAAGTGGGCCCTGGTATTCAAATATAAAGATTGTTAGAGTCAAAACAAATTACGCTTCTAACATCCGCTATCCGGTATCCTATTGTCCGGGTCCAGTAAACAGCAAGATATATCAAGGGTAATTGCACATATGTAGGATATGTATATTGAATAAGTGATAATATTCTCGCATAGGTTCGTTAACGTATTGAACTATATTAAAAAGACCACATACACTGAAACGCAAAAGAAACGTCACCCCAAGTAACATTGCATGGTTGTCAATTAAATATCTGGGTAATTTTTGTCAAAGTTTCTAAAATTTAACATTACCTTGTCCGGAAAAATGAAATTTGAAGATAAAAAAACAAAGCAGATGACATTAAAACCGATCGCCCAAACGTATCACGGCAACGGCCATGGTAACCAGTTGCACGTGAGTTCCGTGCAAAGTGAAATGCACATGCGTTCCCCCATTTCTTGCCCTATAAAAATCAACCCAGATCGGATAACATTAATTCGTTATTGAATCGCTACCACATGCCAAGATTTTACAAGAAATCAGCGACACCAAGCCCTTGGACGATTGCAACCTGAACAAACCGCCCGGCAAGTGGTCAATGCATTTCAAGTCCATATTTCAAGGACCATATACCGGCTCCAGCAACGGTACCAGACCACCAACACTACAGATGACCGACCACGTAGGGGAAGACCAAGGGTCATCACCCGACGTCAGGATGGTCAGATTGTGCGACAACATCTTCAAGATTGCATTGTTACTGCTGCGGAAACTGCTCGACAGACAATGGGGACACACCAGCGACACATTAGTGTGGACACCGTGCGTCGACGATTGACGAGCAGACACCTCCAGTGTCACAGGCCACACCGAGGATCCATTCTGACACCACGTCATCGCTGGGACCGTCTTCAGTGGGCAATACAGCACCAACATTGGCGCCACCAGCAGTGGAGAAGAGTCCTCTTCTCAGACGAGAGCCGTTACTGTATCTCAACAGCAGATGACAGAGAGAGAGTCTGGCGACGCCGTGGGCAACATTATTCGGAAGCTTGTGTTCTTGAGAGGGACTCGTGGGGTGGTCTGAGCATCATGGTGTGGGGTGGAATTGGTCTTGCACAGAGGATCGGCCCTGTGATCTTCCGGGACATCGGTCCAGGGAGAGGCAATGGTGTCACAGCAGCTCGGTACATCGATCAAGTCTTGAGACCATACGCCATACCTCATTTGGCACGTCGCCGCAACCACGAGATTCAGCATGATAATGCCCGTGCCCACACTGCGAGAGCAACAAGAGACTTCCTCCAACAGAATAGCATCAGAACCATGCAGTGGCCTGCCCTCAGTCCCGATTTAAATTCCATTGAGCACATTGAGATTAAAAGACGGCTGAATGACGTCCGACCAAGGCCGACAACTGCAGCTGAACTGCGTCAGGTGTTCTTCAAAGTGTGGGCTCAAGTGCATAAGGCCTTCATCAACCACCTCATCCTATCGACGTTGCACGGCAGTCATCAATGCACATGGCGGACACACAAGATACTGACTTGTGATGCCATTTTCACCGAGACTAGAGTTGTGTTTCACTTTAAGAACATTTGACACTTTAATTTCAACCTTGATGATCAGTCTTGCCAAGTTTCATATTTTTAATATGTCTCAAAGTATGTTAACAGTGTTTGGACAAATAGGGTTTCTCATATATCTATCCATGGTGACGTTTCTTTTGCGGTTCAGTATATATTAACTGATCTAGCCCAGAGGCCGTTATGGAAGGGTAAATAGAACTAAATCAAGTATTTCCTGATCGTTTATTTGTAGATCTTGCAATGAGTTCAAACTATAGAACTCAACTATTCCAGTTTGGTGACTGAACAATATCTTTTGAATCATTGGTTTCAGTTTTCTTTTCGGCGATGTGTTCACACGTCTGTCTCGGGGGAGTTTAAATTTTGATGTCTTATTACAACCTATTTAACACAATCTCCAATCTTATAAACTATTCGAAATACAATTTTGTTAAATTAGATGTATCTTTGTCGATGTCTCGTGCCAATGATGGCCACGAAGCATTCATGGGGAGTATGCTTGGTACATCTGTATTTATTTATATATATTTATTTTATGTTTACTAGCTTTCGAATGCCACTGTGTTCAGATACAAACCGGACTCAGAAGATTTATATATCTTTAACACAAATTCCTCAATTAACAATATCAGGCAGTCATTGTATAGATATGCTCCGGTTTGCTAATATATGCTAGCAAAGGTGTACACTGATCAAGGCTTGATGGTTCCCATCTCTATGCATCTAAAGCGTGTATATTCTAGAGTGCATCCTTGGATTTACCTTCCTCAGTTTCCGGTCTCCAGCCAGCCTGGTAGTGAAGGGGATGTTGCAGTACGTATCAACTTCCGTCAAGGTGCGTACAGTGCGGTCCGTGTAGTACAGCCGTATCTTGTTCAGTCCCCGGTGGGCGTTCCATGTCGCCCATAACGTCAAGCTGTCGTCAGGAAACAACGTGTATGTATTGAGCATATCGATGGGGCAATCAGGGGAGATAACTCTACTTGCCTTACTGTGATCCTTTCAGGTGGGTCGTCCTCATACACATTGATTCGTGTTTGGATAGCAAACAAGTCTACTGAAAATATTTCAAGCTAGGATTTGAAATGGTATTCTTTCGTATCACCCAAACCATTTTTTCGCAACTTTTAATTCTGTTTCATTCTGGCTTTATTCTTTTCCCGTTATGACAGTGGACGTACATGAGATTTAAGGTATCTCCACGAAAGTCAGCCTGTGACGGATGACGAAACAGCACTAAAAGCATGTGATTGCTTAACTACCTTGCAGGTTTGACCGGCCACCTGAGAGACAGGTCGATATAACACTGTTGATGTTTGCAAGTATTGACATCCGGCATCCACACCCGTGTACTGGCGTCACACGTCACAGCATCAGGCGGCCCTGCAGATCAAACAAGATTCAGTCAGCTTCAGTTGCAAATCGGATGCTCACACAGTACACACAGTTTGACAGTGAAACCTTTTGACCAGTGGGTGAGTTACTAAGGTTGTTATCTGTATATGACTCGCAGAACAATCTGTCGTATAAGGAAAGAATTATTACATTGGAGTCAGTGGGCTGGAAATGAAACCAGGCCAACTGAACGTTCATATTTCTAATCACTTTGTCAAACATAAGTCAGTTATTATTATTATTATTTTTATTATTATTATTTTTATTACTTAGCTGATCTCATTGGCTGTAGTAAAGAATTTAGGGCATGTTTTCGACATGTGCATACAAACAAATAGGGTTGTTAATGATGAGAAGATCTAAGCGTGTATATGTCACAACAGATACGTACGTTAATACCTATGTCACCTGTTGCTTCTGCAGATACATAAGTTAGAATATACCTCACCTGTTGCTTCTGCAGATACGCACCTTAGCATATACCCCACCTGTTGCTTCTGCAGATACATACCTTAGCATAAACCTCACCTGTTGCTTCTGCAGATACATACGTTAGAATATACCTCACCTGTTGCTTCTGCAGATACATACCTTAGCATAAACCTCACCTGTTGCTTCTGCAGATACGTACGTTAGAATATACCTCACCTGTTGCTCGTGCAAATACGCATATTAGCATATAACTCACCTATTGCTTCTGCAGATACGCACCTTAGCATATACCTCACCTGTTGCTTCTGCAGATACGTATGTTAGCATATACCTCACCTGTTGCTTCTGCAGATACGTACGTTAGCATCTACCTCACCTGTTGCTTCTGCAGATACGTACGTTAGAATATACCTCACCTGTTGCTTCTGCAGATACGCACCTTAGCATATACCTCACCTGTTGCTTCTGCAGATACGTACCTTAGCATAAACCTCACCTGTTGCTCGTGCAAATACGCATATTAGCATATACCTCACCTGTTGCTTCTGCAGATACGCACCTTAGCATATACCTCACCTGTTGCTTCTGCAGATACGCACCTTAGCATATACCTCACCTGTTGCTTCTGCAGATACGTATGTTAGCATATACCTCACCTGTTGCTTCTGCAGATACGTATGTTAGCATATACCTCACCTGTTGCTTCTGCAGATACGTATGTTAGCATATACCTCACCTGTTGCTTCTGCAGATACGTATGTTAGCATATTCCTCACCTGTTGCTTCTGCAGTACCTTAGCATATACCTCACCTGTTGCTTCTGCAGATACGTATGTTAGCATATACCTCACCTGTTGCTTCTGCAGATACGTATGTTAGCATATACCTCACCTGTTGCTTCTGCAGATACGTATGTTAGCATATACCTCACCTGTTGCTTCTGCAGATACGTATGTTAGCATATTCCTCACCTGTTGCTTCTGCAGTACCTTAGAATATACCTCACCTGTTGCTTCTGCAGATGCGTTCGTTAGCATATATCTCACCTGTTGCTTCTGCAGATACGTATGTTAGCATATATCTCACCTGTTGCTTCTACAGGTGCCCATTCCCCACTGGCATCTTGGTGATTCGGGGAGCTTGCATCGTCAGCGTATTGAAACAGGGCGCCGTCCTCGGTACACATGCTACAAATACTATCAGGGTCATCGCTGCTGATACTGAACGGGGAGATCCAGGCAAGCGTCGTTGACGTCACGTCTGACGACAGGACCTAAACGACATGAGTATGATGCGGATTGCAGCGGAATGAAATTAAAAGACAGAAAAAAATTTATCAATGATGTGCAATGTTGCCAAAGCTAACTTCAAGAGTTGTTAAATGTGAATAAGTGGCTTTGGGTTGAACTCTGCTTTGAGCACTTCAAGTTGATGACGGCCACGTGGGCTTGTTGGGGGATGCAGGTCGTACATGTTTACCACTTTGGTGAAAAACAGAAGCACGAGTATTGTGCTGACAGGTCAAGGGTCATGATAAAGCAGAACTGGGATTCCAAGCAGAGATCAGCAGATCCTGGCCTAGCTAAGGATGCAACTCTGCACATCGAATTGTGGGCCTTCCTGACCCCATTTGTAATAGATGTCGAAAGCCTCTTCTTCATTTCATATTTGTTTGTTGTTGTGTAACGCTGCACTCATCAATGTTCCAGCTATATGACGATTTGGAAATAATCGTGTCTGGACCAGGCATTCCAGTGTTTGACTTCATGAGCATCCGACAAGCAGAGTCGCCTTTTACGGCAAGCAAGGGTTGCTGAAGACCTATTCTACCCCGGATCTTCACGGTCTTGTGAACTGAATTATAAAGACATTATTCTGAACTTTCATATTATAAGCTCTGATCATTTGTATCTTCATATTTCTAGGATGTTATCTGCATCTTTGATATATATCTTGTCATAGGTATATTGTCATGTTTACAGAGCATGTAAGCTGATGGTTAGCTGTGTTTACTGATTTGACATTCTTCTCGTCTCGTTGTTCTGGTCAATCTACGCAAATGATTCGATGACATGCAATCAACCAAGTCAGCCAGCCTTAACAGCCGATCCCGTTAGTCGCCTCTTACGGCAAGCATGGGTTGCTGAAGATTAAATTCTAACCCCGATCTTCACGGGTTACATTTAAGGCACATGTCTTGTTTGTTTCAGTTAACTTAAACACCTATGGTAAACATACCCTTGGTGGCAGCGGTACAGGTGAGGGTATCTTTGCAGTTATCCACGGCTTGTACACAAGGTCAAGGTAACAATGCATCCGGGCAACTTGGTTCTGACTGAAGTGATTAGTACAGTTGTCATCTGGAAGACAGAGTTACACAGCTTAGTCTAAGCCAAACAAACTGAGACACTAGCCAAGCCGTCGGGGCGACACACAACACAGAGTTACCACCCTATCTCAACTTGAATCGCATCTTAAGAAAAGTATGTTCTGCTATTGAAGTCCATTTAAGAAATTATCGCACAATGGGCATGATACGCGTCGTACATTATTTCATAGGAGTGAATAAGTTGAGTTTAACGCCGCTTTTAACAGTATTATAGTTATATCACGGCCTATCAGCATATTGTGAGAGGAAGAACCGAAGTGATGCAAGTTTCAAACGTTTAACATTTTGGTGAAACCCACAAGCGTACGGAAATGGTGCTGACAAACCTAGAATCTATGTCGGAGCGAACCGAAATTCGAACCCACAATCATAGGTTTCTGGCGTCCACAGGGAATTGCGGCGCCTTATACGACAGGGCCATCCGGGCCCCCATTTTCATAAGCATGGATACTCGCATTAACGCTTACAATCCAAAGACTCCAAATATAGTTGGTAAACCATACCTGCATTGCTCATATAGTTTCTGTATGGTGTGTCTGTGTAGGCGTCAAACAGTCCGCATCTGGCATCGGTAGGGTCAGGGTCGTGGCAGTGCATGTTCTCAGGCGTTGGGGTGGTGTCGGCGCACAAGTCCCCGTGCTCCAGTGAGGGATACTTCTCTACACACGGGTCGTCACACTCCATCTCAGACACCCCGTGGTGCACGTGCCACAGTCCAAGGTTATGCCCTATCTCATGTACAAGACTATTTGTCTGACCGGGACGACGAAACATCTTTGACTGGACAACGATACCACCTACAAACAACCGATAAAAAAGGTTTGTTATCTATTACCAATACACAGAGAAAGAAGTGCTCTAGTCTCTCATACTGTAACATACTTCTAAAAGGTCCCATGCAAGTCTGTTACAGTTTGGCAGGTCTAGAGGGAAAATGTCTTCCGTATCTTCGTAGATCCGTTGGGTTCATTTCTACTATACATTCTAAGAAAATTTAAAAAGAAATAACTTCAGAATATTTTTATCAAGAGAACGAATGGTTCTTTACCATTGACATACAAACAGCTCGGCAATGTTTAATAAAACGTTTAACTCATCAGTGAGGCCCTTTTAGAAACATCACTGCAATTGAAAAATCGACGAATTTGACTGTCAATGAAATCAGAATTTGTATCAACTATGCGCTAAAATTATACCAATGAGAGAGTGTTTTCTTGACTTGTTAACTCACATGTCTTTGTCGGAATCGGCAACGATCGTGACCTTGCAAATAAAACCTTATTATCTGCCATAGAGGGAGAGACAGATGTGTTTATGCGTTTACTTTCGATAATCCATGCATATTATGACCATTGTTAAAGTGACATTATTTGCCACCTGTATTATGAGGAAGGAAGGCCTATGTCATGACAAACGGGGATAGCGTAGGGAGCTGCAGCATTCCCATCACACGTGCAGACAAACATCATGGCGCGATACGTCCATGCACTATTTCTTAAACAGACTCATTTAGGTTTGTCAGCAGAAGCCTCCTCAGTGATTGCTTTTATAGAGGTCTTTAATGTTTCAATTAAGTATTCTATGTTTTCTGATGAGACTGCGTTGGTGTTCAGTTCCACCCACTCGTCTGCAGGTCATCAACAGACGAGGATTCTCCCCGTGCCCTTTCATGAAGCCATCCATACACCATTGATTACATGGGCATCTTCGTCAAGCAGTCACTCAAGTACGCAAAGGTCTACTCCCCCGCACTACTTGGCTATCAATGGGAGGAATATTACTACCCTCAAAGCCATTGTTTTAAGGTCTATGGGGGTGATAACTGGGCCAATAGAAAACATATGAACACTTTGTACCATGTACTGAACTATCACTTTCAATCTTCAGTCTACTGTGCATCATCATACCGTTATCAGTGGGTGAGTATTTAACGCCGCTTTGAACAGTATTTCAGTAACGTGTTGCCATGGGAGATTAAACATGGGAGGAAAGCCCACAATAATGCAAGTCTTAGATGATTATCAATTTGGCAAAGGATGGGTACGGTGCTGACAAACCAAGGATCAATATCAGGCTGAATCGGGGATTTGAATCCACGACCACAGGATCCTTGCGCGCCTAATGGAGGCAACTCTGCTCAGCAAATCGTGGCGCTTCTGACGACTGGGCCAATGGAGTTCCTAGACACTGTTATTAGCAAACCTCCATATGCTCTCATCGAGTGATTTACCTTCCGAGACAAAAGTGTATCTTTAAGTTGGGTTCAAGAAGTGTATATGTTCCACTTGTCTGTGCTGTGGGTGGTTCTGGCGATAACTACAACCACCTGTATACAGCCCGCGCAACCTGTGCCAGATGGATGCTCAGACAGTCACTGAATGGAGATGAACTCACCCAGACAGACACACGTACTTTGGCCGCCGTTAGCAATACACGCCGTGTGGTGTAAACACTGCGTCTAGGGCCAGCCCGGGGTCGGGGTTACACACATGGTGTCGGCGGGGGATAGTCTTACAATCAGGTGATGATGGCATAGTCCGGGATGGGGCTACACACAAGGTGTCTGGGGTCGGGGAGGGGGGGTCGTTGGGGGGAAACAGTCATATCATTCAGGTGACGGGGTCACCCACATGGTGTTTGGGGTTTATAGTAAAAACGATCAGGTGATGATGGCACAGCGGTTTTTCCTCCAAGATCAGATATAATGCATGTAATGACAACATTTCCATATATAAAAATGATGATAACTTAGAGTGAGTATGGTTTTACGCCGCTTTTAGCAATATTCCAGCAATATCACGACGGGAGACACTAGAAATCGGTTTTACACATTGTACCTATGTGGGGAATCGAACCTGGGTTTTCGGCGTGACGAACGAATGCTTTAACCACAAGGCTACCCCACCGTCCCTGAAATTCACATAACAAATTATGCTTTCACTCTCGCGTCAAAAGGGAACTCTCACCGTACACACTTTTGCCCAGAATCTCTACTCGGGGACTGCAGCCCAGTCAGATACCATATGCAGTCTTACATTCCTTACATAATTTTGAAGTAAATTCATTGGCCTTGTCATTCACGTAGGTGACATGAAAGAAAGCTTTCCTGTATAATCAGGCCCGATCTAAAATGCCATCCCCTCTCTAACATTTTCATATCCATCTATGTCTGTGATTAGCTTCCTTCATTGTCAATCACCGAGCTGCTGGTGTCATCTTTATTCAGGTGACACAGGGTTACGTGAGGATTATTGACGTCATCTTGTATATATGATGTATATGGTAGGATGGATTCTTTGAATGCATGTAGGTTCAAGCTGGTGATACACGTATCATTTCACATGCTGTTCCCCGTTGTATCGTGTACAGTTGTGCATACACTTGTGCAGTATGGCACATTGTGCATACAGTTGTACCACGTGACACATTGTGCACACTGTTTTATCATGTGGCAGATTGTCTATGGTGTTGTATCATGTGCCACGATGTGTATAGACTTGTACCTTTTTGCAAACTGGCTAAAGCATCATGTGACACAGTGTGTATACATACAACTGCACCATGTGATATATTCTTGATAAAGTTGTATCACATTAAACATTGTATAATATGTTACATTATGTATCATTGGCAAAGTCTTTGTCAAGGAACCTGAGATTACTCGACTATGTGATGCGAGTAGCCTGTTAAAATTTGACAGGACGGTCGTGTACTTATAGGAAGTAAAAAATACGTACAACATCCCCTGTATTGTGACAGGAGACATTTACTGTCGCACAATGGAGTGTTGGGGGACGAATCCGTGTTCCAATTTTATAAACACTGCGTGAAACACTGGATCGAAACGAAAATGTATAACATCGCGGTGAGGACACACCATCAACAGTGTTATGGAAACGTCCGATAATGGATTAAGTCCGTTGGCCTTACCTAGCCCCGCCAGCTCCTGGCCCAGAGCATGTGTGATGGCAGTGACCGCTCTCTTGGAGTCTACGGAAAACCTAGCACAGGTCCAGACTACACCGGCCAGCCACTCGCTGTGTCAGAGGTCAGGGGTCAAAACCATGTCAACAAGACATGATGGTGTGAGTCATATCCAAACAAGGGGAATTTACATCAGATCTTCCAGACATATAAATATGTCTGTAGGATTCACTTCACACAACAAACGTAATTTTCTCAGCTTTGGAGATTCATCAGCCGTAACTGCATGTGACATTGAGCTATTACTACGCAATTCCCCCAGCACTTCTTTGCATGCTCTGTAAATGAGATATTATTCTATCGCAACTGCATCGAGGCTGCATGGCTGAGGTTGTTCTATACGGTCAAAGAGACCAACGGTAACAAATCATTGTACTGCAAGAGCAACTATTTCCATGTAAACACAACATCCGTGGCAAGCTATTGGCAGGGCATAGAGATGGAATAAATACGTATGAAATAACCAATGCCCAAAACAATTTAGGGTATAACATGAGTTCAGATTTGCTCTCTCGAAATCGTTCAGCAATTTATTAGATACGGGTCTCGGTTGTGCATATCAAGTGAAATGTCGATGCTTATGGAATATGCTGAAAAAACGCTGTCGTATTTCCCAACTGTGAATGTGTTTCATGTTTCTGAATTTGTAAGTTCTACTACATGATTCCCCGTGGAACAGATGAAATAGGACCCGACGTTGGTCCTGAACTATGGATCGCACCACAGAAACAAAACAAAACCCATTCGACATTACAGCATGTGAATCTCTTAGTCATAACCAGGAGGCGTTCATGTCAAATGTAGACTTAGTCTCTGAATAAGGTATCTCCAATACGTCACAAACGAACGCCTCCTCCTCCTCCCCCATGACACAACCGTGTTGCAATCGCAGCAAAGAATGTCCAACCACTTGGAGCAGAGTCTGTTGAGACCAAGGATGAATGGGAGTCATGATGAGATAAAACGAAATAATGACGCTGATAACATTTCTCTTCCCCAATCTTGACGAGAACAACCATCCTAACAATGAGTCATACGAGTCACCAGAGACATGATTCTGATACAGTAAGACAATGAGTGGGAAGAGTGTGGCCGCGACGTGTAATGGTGTCTCATGGCTTGCACAACAGACGTGTTTCGCGCTACAGCTGTGTACAGGTTTTATATTTGAACATCACTTACGATAATAAAAGATACATTTTCGCTTTAAACTTTGTTATCTAGAGAACCCAATTACATTCTTTACAAGAGAATGGAGAAACAGGCGTAAATTAACATACTTTAAGCGGGGTTGCTTTCATTAGTTCAAAACGTAATTAAACTGTAATAATGACCTTTCACAAAAGACAACATTCGTACGATTTAGCCATTGAAACATGTATTTACTTTTCATTCTTAAATGGTACTTAGGTCTCCAATCATCTCGTAGGCAGAAAGTACAGTAGAGTTTATTATTATTCATTTAAATCTACTATTTGCAACAACACATTATATGCTATAATATACTTGATGGGGTATGGTATAAGGCAAATAGTCCCACATCTCTCCTGGAGGGAGCTTACCTTGATGGGTGTACACGTGTTTCTCCCAGGGGAATGTAGCCAAACCGATCAATTTGTCCGTGGTGGTGGAGGCTAGGAACACGTTCAGGTGGGAACTAGCCGGGATCCGGACTGCATCTTTGTACTCTTCAATACCGAGGAAACCACTGATAAAAAGCCAACAGGCAGATATAATCATCACATAGATAAATCATTCGCAAGTAAGAACCATTTATTTAAATCTGATACATATCTGACATCTTTTTTTCAATGAGGAATGTACTTTGCAGATGATACATCAAATTGGCACTAGCATGTATGATTGTAGAGTGGTGTATTGTATTTGAAAGGACATGAGTGGTCATCACAGAGGATATTATAGCGCTTTTGGAAAGTGGAAGACATACGTCAATAGATACAACAGCAGACCGTTACAATGCCATTAACTCTATGTCAGGGGTGTACTTTAAGGGTACATCATTCGCATTAACTGCCTTACACAACTGCGAAATAAGACACAATTTTGAGGCTGAAAATGTTTACTTAAAAACGTCTCCACTTGAACTTTGAGTGGAATGGAAGGTCACCGTCATGTGGTGGAAAGCAATAATGACATTGCATGTCTCATACCAGCATACCATCCGTGCAGGGAGCACATTTACACGTCAGGGCAAACAAGCCAATTTGTATATCGTCAAGTGAGCCCTAACCTGCTCTGTCTTACTTTGCCTCTTAAGATCATATGATCGATTTCCATACAGGCAGAACTCAGCTTCGTAGTAAATGTAAGCGTAAAGAGACGTTTGTATGAGTCAGACACACATAACAAGCGGCGAACAGTGATTGTGTGCTACATTAGAATGATTGCAGATTTGAGGCTGTACCTCAGTTTTTGAATTGGCGATGTGATCAATATAGCTTGTGTACACCTTGTGCTCCACCTCTCCAGCAGTGACCCACCTCTATCTCGGGTGCCTTGAGCAGACAATACAGTCATCAGAATTGCCCATAGATCTCTCACTCCATTGGACACGGGAAAGTTTGTTTGTTGGCATTTACAAAGTTCAGCATAACTACAGTCTCCAAGGAGAGACAGGAAATTGCATTGGATTTGAAGCTTTTAGTGGAACACGTCGTTTTTTCTATGGCCATTTAAGATGTTATAATAGCTCCTTGATGAAGTCATGTTACACTTGCGTTATGGTTATGTTAACAGAATGACGTCAGTTATATATATGTAACTTCGTAGGATTTTACACATTTACACAGTAGTATTTAGTCGTCGCAGATCATTAGACAATCGGATGTCAAGGGTTAAACAATAATGATAACAATATATGATTTTAACAAACTATTCAGAAAGTATTGTGCAATACACGTACTTCATTTTGGTCAACAGTGATTTCGAGAAGAGTAGGGAGCAGTGCATTCCATGACTTCTGAGACACCATACACATTTCATGAGCTTATACAAACTGTGTTCTCACAAGTAGTGTCACAATAAGTAGGTAAAAGATAGGATCATTTTGAACGAATATATTGATGACAGGTGCGTTTTGTCCTAATCTTCGTAATGCCCACATGACTTAACATAGTAAGTACATATTCCAAAATGTTAGCATATAAATGTGTGAGGTATTTCTTGAATAGTGTCAGGAAATCCTATCTCAGCTGTATACTCACCGCCAAGGGGATGTATGGTTGAAGCAAGTATAGTGGGTGTCGGGGCCGGGAAGACAGCAGTCGTTCGAGTCCCAGTCGTGGTAAGCTTTGTTACATTCAAAGTCACACTTTCCGTTACCTTTCTTACTCGGATTGCACTTCACCTTCACAGAGTCACAGTCACCTCCGTCGTACCCAGTCCTTGGATGTTGGCATTCAGCTTGGCAATTGCCATCACCCACATTCATAGGGTCACATGCTATCATTATGAGATGTTTACGCAATGATGAGTTCCTTATATTTTCTGTACTCAAATCGAATGTTATGTTGTATGGTTCAAATGCAGTCTTTAATGCTTCATGCTGCACAATAATCTGTTCTTGAGTAACAGTAGGATTTAACCCGTCATCATCCATCAAGTTAACAACTCTGTATTGGATTACCTTTTCATGACGCATCTGCCAACTGTGTGTGTAACTTTGAACTACATTGGGATCATCACATACGGTTTTCCCACACGATGGCACAGAAACGGAAATGTCATGACTCTGATATGGAATGTTTGAATGGATAATTTCTAGACTATGCCCTGTGATCAACTTCCAGTTTGTAACGTCATTAAAATTATCTCCAAACACCAAACCCTCAACATCCATCAAACCTTTTGTTGGAACAAACATATTTTGTTTAATATTTATATGCTTTAATGGCCTTTGCCATAGCCTTAATTCATCAATACTACCTCTAAAGAAATGTCCATTGGAAATATTTCCTCCCAAATGAATTTCTTTGCAAGCAGAAGAGGAGAGACCGAAGATATTTCCTTTCTGGTCTGTTGCCACTGTGATCCTTGCACCGTTGATATACAAAACCATCATGGATCCGTCGTAAGATGCCACAATGTGGATCCACTTGTTCGGCTGATACTGTGTGTGTGTGAAGATGGCGGTTGGTTTTGAAGATCTCTGTGTTTGTAATGAGAAAAACATCCTCACGTCCGCTGCCCCATCTCCCCTAAATGTCTGAAGTCCCAGAGACCAGTGCCCGGACGTCAGGAATCCGTCGCATGTGTCATAGAGCTCTGCAAAAGAAATCATAGTCTGGTTGATAAAGTTTTTTCGTTGTTGTTTAACGCCGCAATCAACAATATTCCAGCTATATGACGGCGGTCTATAAATAATCGAGACAATCCAGTGATTGACATCATGACAATCGATCCACGCAATTGGGATACGATGACATGTATCAACCATGTCAGCGAGCCTGACCACCCGATCCCGTTAGTCGACGCTTACGTCAAGCAAAGCATGGGTTGCTAAAGACCTATTCTACCCTGGATCTTCACGGGTCGTTTGATAAAAAAATGGGTCAAATCTGTTGACCCTCACTGCGCCCACATGTTCGACATTCTCTATATTTGCCGTTATTCTTTACTTATCTTCGGATTCTGTAGTCCTTCCTCTTCCTTCAAATAACCCTACCGATCTCCTTCTTGTATTAAAACAGAACCAATCTTGGTAACAACGCATAAAGTTCAACTTTTTTAATTTTCAAATAGTCAAATATAGGATTTCTACACGTTTGATTAGATTAGGCTGACATTATTGTGCCTTTCTATCAGTTAAATGTTTTCGATATGACAACGGCCCTGCCAGACTTTATTATTTTCTACATGCCTTTGTTCAACGGTATATAATTACAACCGTAACCTTGTGGGTGAGTGAGTGTTAACAGTAAGTCAGGTAATGTTGAAGTCAAATCTCACCATTTCAGTATTTTCATAAAATCCCAAGATTCAAAATATAAACAAAGTGTTGCTGCGACGCCGTCGAACACGCAATCACATACTGTTTAAATGATACATATGGGGGCTATAAAAGGCCAACCATGTCCTATCTCCTTGATTCATCAACTCCAACGTGGAATATGCGCGTCCAGTGACCGTCACCTACCATGTGATCTGCTTTGGCTATGTACAGGTAATGTGCTATAATGAACCCATAGAACTCACTGTACAATTTTCCCATTTGATAACCGTTTGACTATTTGAACTACAAAGGCAACATCATACAGATGCCTTATCTGTGTATACGGTTCATTTCTAATTAATGGATACTGTTAACGATTTTCAAAGCAACTAGTTGGCAGATGGGTTGTTACAATATAACCGTAACCACGCATCAAATTTAAAGAAAAAACAGTTTGAACCGTCTTAGACAAACGTTCGTAAGCTGTTATGATTGGCAAGCTTCAATTTCATTTTTTTAAATATCTGATACAAGGGCCAGACTCATATAAGTGTCATAGTCATATTAATATTTGTTTATAAAAAAGAAAGAAATAGTATATGCAGAAAACTACAATTTTTATATTAACGCCATGAACAAATCTCAGTTAGACATCCTCCTGAACTTTAAGACTCTTCCCTTCAGCGGCTTCAGGGAAGAAACAGTTGAGAGAAAGGCGACTGATGAACTAAAAGGGTAAAAACAAATACGGGCCTTGCTGCATGGTCGAGCTGAGATAAAAGTAGCTCAGCCGTACTGATGCCACAGATGCTACCATCACTTATTGTTGGTCATCCCTACCACATACCACACATCAAGTAATACTTCTTACAACTGCTCCCAACAAATGGTCGGACATGCTAGTTTCAACACCACGCAATTATTATTTAGGGGATTGGGGCTAATATGGTACTGCTGTTTAATCATTATTAGATAACAAGCTTAACGGAAGCCGGCAATAAGTCAGTAATACAAGCTTGATGTATATTCAACGTGTGGTATCTATATACAGCAGCCGAATGACTGTATTGTCATGCTCAACGTCCCAAAGGGACAGCCGTAATAGGTTTTCCACTTACCAGATGTGTACGTTCACAAATTACCTTGCATTGATCAACTAATGACTGGTACAGATCACAGACATATGAAGTGTGTGAACATACTGACGAATACTAAACAAGTACGCACGCTCTAAATAAAACATCGGCGTTAAGTGTGGACAAACACATAAAGGGGTAGGCTGCTGACTCTGGCAGCTGACTCTGGGAGGTTGACATTATCATCCACCGCCGTAGTCGTGTCAAACACCGCTTTCGCATTAAATGGTTTTAATGCGAAATCAAAGAGATTATCAAAATGTGATTCAAGTGCGATAGCATATAGTGTACCCGTTTTACCCAAGATCTCTGAAAGCTAAAAACGTGTTTTATGACAAAAAAGAACAAAACCAATGTATTGCTTACAATGCTTGAGTGAAGCACAATCCTGAAATGTCTTTCAGCACAAGCTTTACAGGTTTACTATGAAGCCCACCAAAGGCGCAAGACAAATTCAAGAACTGGTCTTTATTTCTATACAAGTGTAGGCAGCCAGTGAAAGAAATCCGATGTAACCGCCTTTTACTATAGATTGTCAATGCTAAAACATCTCCTTTTGACGGAACTGAAGGCAACAAGTGCAGTCGGGGTTGTCTAACAATGGAGAACGTTCTTCTGTTACCGTAAACCTAACAGCTTAACACAGCCTTCCATTTGTATCGTCTCACTACCCATAACTGTACACTGGGGTGGCCGCGCTCACTGGCTACGTGACGTCACCAGACTCCCGCCCATAGAAAAGCAGTATCTTTACGAATGTTCTGTGGTCGAATATACCCCTTCCATGCTGTTGTGTTCATCTGGCTTTGCGCTACCCGTACAAGAATGTAAACAGACCACCATGGTGGCTTTTGATTGCGGGCCTACGAGAAGAATGTCGCTTTATTTTCCTCGTCGATCTGCGTTGTGCACTGTGAGCTACCACTGCAGATTCATCAAGAAGGCGATGGGCTCCCAGCGCGTACCCTTTACAAGTCCCTTTGATACTGGGATTTGGCACATTATCTTGGAACACAGACGGTGAAATCTCATTGTCGCAGACAGTAGCCACCCCTAGAGCTGGGGCTAGTGCACCTTGCCATGCTTTGACTGGTGATAAAACGCCACGACCCACACGGCAGGACAGGGATGGCGGAATGTAACGCGTCATCAGAGCAACAGCTTAGAGGTATAAAATACTACACGGTTACTCGATTTAGGTAATATCAATAATCAAAGTAAAATAGGACATATTGTGTATTGTACCCTATGTGGAATTGACTGATGTTTACTAAGTACATAGTTTTCAATATCTTAGCTTCTTCATCCTGTTTGCCGGTTATATTATAGCAAGTCTTCATATCGTACTCAAGCCTGTCATTAAACATGTTTGGCTTAGGAATTAGGTAGAACGTTCTTATGAACATTCTTTGAAATGGTTTGAACTGTGGGTATTACATAATTAGGCACCTGTCCCTATTTTTAAGTGATATTCTTAAATATTTTCTCGAGGTATTTATCTATAGAGTAACAGGAGATGCAGGTATCATCCAAGTTCGACAAAATGTATTTTTCAAAGGTCTGAGTTGCTTTTGTTCTCAAGTGTAAGGTACCCAGGTACAAAGTCCAGCCAAAGTGCGTTCATTTATAGAAAATATCAAATGTCCCCGAAAGTGATAAACATAGTGTAATACAGCTCGACACTAGGTCGCAAAGTGTTTTGAATCTGGTGTTTGTGGTTGCCAACCCCCGTGGACAGAATGCGTCTACAAGGGGATGGTGGATGGATAAGTCGTTTATCATCTGTCATACCCTGGGGGATTACCTCTGCATGGCGCATTCACCTTGGCGGGACACGCTCCTGGAAAGCATTTATCACTCACAGGTAAAGAATAGTCACTGGCGTCGTGGTAGGTCCCTCATCACAGATTCGGAGTTACCTCCCTTCATTTATTTCACAACAGAACACGTATCAGTGAGTGTCTTTGTGAAAACACAGGCACTGTTCTAAACCGTGAAAATTCGAGAAAATACATCCTAAATACCAATTAAACCACCGTTAAAGATTACTAGTGAATTTGGTTTTGACAATGAACCTTAAGTACGTGTATTACATTGAGGTTAACAAATGCCAATTACTAGACGTCCGAAGCAAAACTGTATTTTAAACCAAACGTGTTGAGAAATATACAACACACGTGTCCTTCAGTAGAACGTGTACGCGAGATTGTATTCCGACATCTTTGGAAACAGACGCTGCTGGCGATACAGGTGGTTAACTGTGTTTATCTTATGGCAGTGCTTGACCCAGACAGATTTACAGGCCGCCATGATGTGCTGCAGTATTTATGACTGTCGTGTTAAAACAACGTTCACTCGCTCTTCCACCACTAGACCTTCACTCTGAATGATCTGGACATATTCATTATGTAACTGAAATATGGACGACCTGTTGTTCTGACAGTTCGTATATTTTACTGTCGATGTACATCGAGCATATATTTCCTGAATTATATAGTAGTCTGAATATTGAAAGTAATAATAAAGAATAACAAAAGAGTGACAGAAATGAGTGAAATAAGATGTGTTACCTGTATATATTTTAGGACTGAAACTGCCTGGGTTCGCTGATGTTATGTTTTACAATCACTTGTACAAGTGCAATCACATGTGATACGTCCACGTAATGCATCAGAGCGATGCTTTGCATATAAATCATTACAAGAACACCCTGTAGTCCACCAGAGACCATATAACAGAATGTAAGTAAACATTAGTTGTATCTGCAGCTGAAAGGATTTTCCAATTAGCTTTTACTGTGGACTATCTAATGACCGGCAATGACGGTATTAGATATAATCCACTCAATAGAAAGACTATAAGACTTGAGACTGATTGATCATGCTATGGCTGTGTCCTGACGGGTCCAGGCTTCGTGCTTCCGTACCGTCCTGACAGCCGGAAGATGCAGAGTTACAGAACTTCTATCGGGTCATCACGTGTCACGGAGAAGTTTTACCCTGACCCGTCGCTTCAGAGGAGGCTACTTCGTCGTCTCGACCGCCAGCCACAGATAACTTCACAATCACAGGCAGACACAACCAAATCAATGTGTAAGCAATGCCGCCTTTTGCCGTTGTAATATTAAGATGGCGACTTGGATCGTCTGGTGACACCACTGGGATTATCTCAATAATATATAGGGGCACACTTCTCAG